GCGTCGTCTCGCCGTACGGCGCCGTAAATCCATGGTAATTCGCGAAAGAGCCGAGGCCTTGTTAGAACGCGCCGGAGCTCAACGAAGAGTAGATTTCCACGTCGTCCTTAATCGAAATTTATTAACCGTGGCACAAGTGCAAGTTCCGCGCGGAATTGCGCCGGATTGGATAACGCTCGTCGCTTATTATGCACCTTGATATCGTTCGCGCCGGGAAATTTCTTATGCAATGGCTGGACGATAACGATCGCCGACACGGGACAAGTAGCCTTTTATTTTTAGAAGCGAATATCGAGCCAGTTTGATTCGCTCTATTGTCGTTTAAAAAATAGCGCTGATAAGATAACAAAAATATGTCGAGAAAAGAAATCGTTGCGTTATTCAGAGGCATTAAATTGTCGGGAAAGTATCGTAAATCTGGAAACTCCAGCAATTACCCGTGGCTTGTGCGGGTAAGCTATTTCAATTATTTGAATTTTTAATCCCGCGGAACGAGATTCCAATGAACATCGTCGATTTCTGACAGACGTGCGTTGCGCAGGATGTCTGGTTTCTTCTGGAGGTAAACAAGTCGTATGGAAATCTTTCACGGTGATCCATAGTAAACGACTGTCACGAGCCCCCGTTTATGTTAATTGACATTAATCTACGCGGAACAAAGTTTGCAGGCGCGCGAGCCTCGCAGCCGCCCGCCGGCGAATTAATCGAGTTACGTCTCGTGCGAGTCGGCCTGCCAATTTATTAGATCTATTCACGTGACGGTGCATCGTCGTCATCCTCATCATCATCATCATCGCGTCACCTCGATTGTCCCTCAATGAGCTCGCGCTTCTTCGCAAGCGGCGCGCTCCGTTTTGTCACGTACTTTCCCATCCATTCGTCGATCCCCGCGATCGGAAGAGCGCCTCGATCGGCTCGATCCACCGATCGATCACCAGTCGCGCGTATCCGCGATTCGAAAGAGGGCAAAGGAGCTTGTTCCGCCACGACCGTGGAAGCGAGGAGCTAATCGGAGACGCGAGATGAAATGTGCGATTCTCAAGATTTCTCGCACGGACGCCGTCACCAAACTATGATAACGACGTAATTAAATCTTATTACTTTTTACAATGAAAGTGCGGGATTATTCATCGATACGTACATTGGCTATTCGAGTAATACCGGCCGATTTCTCGGCCAACCCAAATATTTACCTTTTTAATTTCACAAATTGTCTCTTACGTAAGATCGCTACCATTTTGCAATGACGCGTCATAACATTTTCATTCTGTGTTTGCGCGAGTGTCCAGGGCAACAGCGGCGTACGCGAAGCGCCGTCGCTAAAATTGACGCGCGTCTCATTAAGGATTGATCGCTCAGCAATTAACGGTGCGTTACCGTTAAAAGCATAACGGCGAATGACGGCGTAATTGGCTCGCGAGCGTGTTGATGCGAGCTTTCCGTTCTGCGCGACCACCGCAAGCGCGACACAAAAATACCACACCGCTGGAATTTTCTCAATCTTCGATAGATACACAAAATAATATACGTGCACGCGAAGAAGTTATATTTAGAGTCCGATGCAGCTGCAACGCCCCGCGAGTCGCCTCGGCGCTTCTAATTGAGTCTAGGCGATGTCTGATTAGGATTTCCTTTTCCTTGTTCATTGTGTGCACTTCACAATAGATTTTATCGCGACGTTTAAGCGTCGCCATAAATATTGCCCTCGATCTTTTTAAGCATATCGAACAAGTGTCTTCTATCTGAAGACTGCTCTGGGAACAAAAAGAGACGGTTACGATCCATTTTGGGGCCCACCATTGGTAATCGAATTATTTGGATTGTTCGTAACTCTACTCTGGGAAAAATTTTGACCCTCTTTTGTTGTAGTATAAGCAACTTAGCATTTCGGTTAGTGCCTCTTAAGTGAAAATTATCTTTGCGTTACTGAATATCGACAGAACTAATTGAGAGAATTGATTAGTATTGCTTTAAAATCTTGGATATAGATAGAAGCTAATTGCGATTTTTAGTTACGCGGGGTAAAATTCGTAAAAGATTAGAGCTACGGACAATCCAAATAATTCGATTACTAATTGTGGACCCCAAAATGGGTTGTAACTGTTTTTTCCCAGAGTGCCATTCATTGACGTAAAAGAACCTGAGTCGGCAGTTTTCAATTTAATATTAAAATCAATTGTTCTCTTATATCGTTTACTTAAGCAATATTTTTTAGCTGAGGCTGACACAAAGTAGATGTCGGGATGTTCACATTATGGAACTGCTAATTACAAGTAAGAATTAAACTCGCGTAACAAACAACTGCGTTTATTTTACATCATATCAGTATTTTTTAAATCATAATATTGCATTTATACCATCTAGAAATGTATATGGACTGAACCTTTAGCAGTCTACTATTATTTTTGGTAATTTCGGAAAGCTTATTTAGCCGCCTGGAAAAATTAATAAACATTCTTAAAAATTATCGAATTACTAGAACGAACGTAATAATCGAAATTGATTACCCATAGGGATGATACGGAAAAATGATTAAACGATTTCGGTTTTTACTTTCGTCACGCTCGATACGAGCGTTTCGCTGTCAGAGAAATTGACGAAAATTGAGGCGCACAGTGATGGACAGAATGGTTGCGGCACTTTTTTAATGAGTTTCGGAACGCGCATTCAGGTTTACGTTCGAAAACGTTTTCTCTCGGGGAAATTTTACTCGAGAAATAGATCGGAAACGCTCAAAACGGTTTCGGAATGGCCATGGAGTAAAATATTCCTCGGAGAAGAAAAGATTTTGGAACGTGACCCCGACTCCAAAGGCACACTTCTAAACCCATAAAAAAAAACAAAAGCAGTGTCGCAACCATTTTGTCCACCACTGTACATTGTTACGTCATACCTTTATTTCCGCAAGCTTCGTTTCTACACGGAGACACGCATACCGCGCGGTTTGATGAGTCACGATGAAAGTATCTCTCGCCTCGCAATTCGTTTATGCCCGGGTCGCGACTCGTGACACAAGATCAAATCGGGCGTCGAGGACGGCCTGAATTCGCGCGACGAGAAAACCTGAATTTCGGGGGGAGAAAAAGGAAACGTTATCTCTCGAAACTTAGATAGCACTATCGCGCGGTTGAAGTTCAACATCTTTTAACGTCACTTAGCATTTGCGACGAGAGAAAGTGCTGGCGAGCTCGAGACGAGCGACTTTAATTTCGCATGTGCAGGAGAAAAAAATGATCACGCGGAAGGATCGGATTCGCGAGACGTGAATTTAGAGGTGGCGGTTACGAATGAAACCCTGGGATGATAACGAGATTTCGCTGACTGCGATAATACTTTCTACATGCGAGGAAACTTTTGCGGAGCACGAAAAATTGCGTCTGGAGAGAAAGACCGTCCGGATTAGACCGTAAAGTTTAAGCGCAATAAGCGCGATAAACGTAATACAGCGTGTCGCTTTTTATTAAAGTAGAAAATGCGAATCTAAATCCGAGTGAAGTATGTATTGGCGCTAAAGCAGCTATATTTTTAAACAGATTTTTCACACGACAATTAATAAATTCGGGGAGGGGGGAGATAACGCCTAATAGATATAAAATTATTTATGAAGAGAATGAACGTTCCGAGGATTTTTTAGGCTACGCGATTTGTGCAGGGTGCGGGACAATCGGCGAAGTGCTGCAAATGAATAGCTTATTTTGTAACAAGTGGACAGAATGAGATAAAAGAAATTCGCCATTTCCTTAATTCGTGGTACAAAGAGAACTTATATTTGTGAACTTGCAACGATTGCCCAAGCTCAGATGGCTGTCGGTTCGAAACCATAAATCGCAGAACGCGACGCGACCAAACTGTTTTAATTCTTTTTCTATAACATTTATTTTGGCAGTAGCCGTGTACGCGCATTTTCCCACGGAGCGGCGTTTTAATTCAATTTTACTCCGTCCATTTTTATCACAAAAATAACATATATTTAGTTGCGGCAGTTTCCCGATTGTCGGAAAACACTGTGCCTGCGTTGAAGCGACCTAGTGACCCGGCACTCTATTTCCCGCGAACGCGAAATGCATACTTCGCGATTTTTATCGACGCATTATGATTTAATGGCGCACAATTAGTCACCCCCCTCGCTCCGCGCGCGAGGAAATTATTCCCTGGGACACTACCCTTTTTTCGCGCGCGACCAGCAATTGTACGTCGCGCTATCGTGCACGCGGCACCCGCGGCAAGGACGCGGATATTCCTCCCCCGCGCACGCGAACTCGCCTTCGCAGCCGGTCGAATCCGGTTCGTTGTGAATTTCGTAGTGATAAGAGCGCGATAATGGCTCCGCTCTCCTACGAACACTTGAGCCAGCCGTTTTGTAATTGCCACGTTTCCCGCCCGATCGAGACGCAGAATGAACGCACGCTCACCTGCCGCATTGTCCCAATTATGTACAAATACTATTGGCGCCTCGGCATTGTTCCCGGGAGGTGTCCCTCCCGCGTTCAGGATTATCTCGTTAGCGGCGCATTTCCTCCGCGCCTCCCCGTTGCTCGTCTCGCGCCCGTCGCCGCGCATCCTACCCGCGCGGCAGACGCGATGGATCCCGCCGACGTCGTCATATCAGCGCGTGATGATGACATGAAAAGAAAACAGAGAGGCCTTATATAATATTCCGCGCGCACGGGAAACTCGACACACCGCCGACAATCGGGAGCAAGTGCGATTCGCCACGCGTCGGCTGTCGCGCGAATAATTGCCCTCGCCGATTTTCTTTTCGTTTTTTTTCCCCCTTATTTTCGCGGTCCAGAATCCTTGTACGGGTCTCGTCCGCGTTTCCGCACTCCCGTATCCGTTTGCGCTTTTACCGCGATTGGCCGGTTGACTCGAGACGGGCAGTCGATTAAGTTCGAAGGCTGACACTTCAAGACCGTCGCGCGTTTCGTTTCCATAATCTGACCTGGTTTCTCTCTTTTTTTTCTCTCTCTCTCTTCCCCGCCCCCGCACGGCTGCTGCAGTATCCGCGAGAGCACGGTGAACGGCTTGGTACCCGCCGGCGACTGCAAGATCTGCAAGGATACGAGAGACGAGCCGAAGGACTCCGAGGGCGCGTCTCTGCTCTGCGCGCTGAAACCGCGTAAGCGCAAGGAACGTCGCGAGTCCTGCTGTCAAGAACGGAAGCTGATAAGGTATACTTTGCGTTGACAATCGCACGAATCCTTCGACGTTGCTTGTGACATCTTTGATTTAATCCTGGATTGAATCTTAGGGGCTTATTGTGTAGACGTTAACGACATCATTACGTGCTTTGTGATATAATACACCATAGAAAAACTGCTGCACGAAGCACGTAATGATGTCATTAACGTTTGCAGAATAGGCCCCTCAGGCTAAACCGTTCGTTTTGACAAACCGAACACCTTGAATCCAATGAAATTAATATTTGTTGACGAAATCAATTTCACGCGTAAATATTTTATCGCGCGCGTCAACAATTTTGTTGTTAGGGCATTTAATTTCTGCAATTTATGTCGCATCAATTATAAAATATAACAGCCTGTTATGTACAATATTACAAGCGCGTGAAAGCATACTTTGCACACGCGGTAAAAGATTACTGGCAAATTACTCCGAATTTCACGCAGTTTTGATTTCTCTCATTCGTTATTAAATTGGCTCTACTGGTATATCAACAATGATTGCGAATGCGCGTAAAGCCATAACCGCACTACATTCTCGACAGTTATTGTGCGTTATTGTACTTTAAAACAAGGATTTAAAACATCAAACATTGTTTTAAGTTCACTGACTCGGACTCCCGACTATGATTCAACCGATTATAACAGTTGGAGTCGGCCGATACCTTGCTATGGTTGGTTGAATGATAGTCGGGAGTCCGAGTCAGTCAGTGAACTCCAGACCATAAGGCCTGGAGCAGAACGACTGTCTTGTACTCTTAAAACAATATTTTATGTTTTAAATCCTTGTCTTAAAGTAACGCACAATAACTTGTCTTGTGGTTTAACGGTAGAAGACGGCAATTCTGCTCAGGTTCATATTGGAGGACCTACTGCCTTTTTGAAGAGGATGGACAGAATGAGACGGACAAATGGTCCCAATTTCTGCCACTTTCTAGATTCTGATTAGTCAACGATTTTCTCTGTCTCGCCTTATGTAAATGACATAGAAATTGTGAGATAGAAAATCGTTGACCAATCAGAATTATTAGAAAGAGGCAGAAATTGGGATCACTTGTCTGCTTCACTTTGCCCATCTTCTTCAAGAAGACGGTAGATCTTTCAGTATAGTATAGAGTTCACCGTAGTGAGTAGTTGAGTTAGGCTGGATTCACACCTAGGCAGAAAAGCAGAAGCCAATCAGAACTCGCGGTGATAGTAAACAGCATACTCTGCTGACAGAAAGTAGAAACTTTCGACTATCAGCGAGAGTTCTGATTGAATTTCCGCTGTTCTGCTCTCTGCTTTTCTGCCAGGGTGTGAATCCAGCCTTAGAACCAGGAGCTTGTAATATGTTTACGGGTTAATACGAAAATTGTCGCGGTGCAAAGCTAAGTGTTCGTTTGTCAAGTGCGACTTGAATTTTTATGGATTCGCGGCGAATATCGCTCGCTTCCACTAGAGTCCTAAATAATCAGAGAAGCGCAATCGTTATCCTCTTCATGCTTCTCATGGTCGCCATGTTGGGCCCGCAGTTGAAATAATACAGGTTCTGGTACGATATAACTCGAAACCACGCAATATGTATACCTAAGATGTATCAAAAATGTCTCAGGGATATCTAAAATGTGTCTTCTCTTAGAAAATAACATTACAAACATACCTTCTTATTTACGGTACGCTTAGTTTGCACATAGGATTCACTACGGGCTCAACATGGCGGTCAGCAAGCGAGACATCGATTGCGCTTCTCTGATTATTTAGGACTTAGAGCATCCACCAGCATCGCGTATTACAGCTGAGCTAGAAAAAAGAATTGTACGTGCAATGCGACCGACTGTGTGTCTTTCAGGAGTAACAGCGAGGAACGCGTTCTCGACAGTCCCACTGACGTCGCAGATACGATCAGGCGCGTGAGCAGCCACGAAGACTTCAATAGCCAGGAACATTTGCACATTTTATCGCAACTCGGCCAAGACATGGGTCACGGTGTGGTGAGTATAAATAGATAATACATATGTGTACGGCAATGTGATGCTCGACCCGCAAAATGTGACATTTTTATAATTTTACTAAATACACTTTACGTATAATATTGTATAATTCCGGAAACATTTTCATCAAGCTAATTGCCTGTTAACAAACGTTCTTTCATCTCAAACGTATTAAAAGTCCAATTGTTGCGTAATATTTACTTAATTTATTATATCATATTACTTATTTCATTTTATTAAAATTAATACATTTTTCTCGTATTAAAATACAATACATTTTTTAATATGTAATAAGTTAATTTTTTAAGAGAATTAAAAATTAATCTTATCGTAAACGCGAAACGTGAGTCTGATTGCTGTTCGATTTGTGATTTGCAGAGATGTGGCGGATTGCCGTTCCACGAGAGAACCAACGTTTCGCCGGTGTCGAAAAAATCGTCGTCGGTGCCGTCGCCATGCGAGGTGGTTGTGGCGACTGAAAAATATGATTGCGACGCCGAGAGGTTGAGAAACAGCGAACGCTTCAGCAGAAGCATCACCCCGAGAGGCAGGAGACAAGCGCGTAGGAGAAGAGTGCACAGAGTCCCGGATACTGATCAGAGTTCCAGCAAGGTAAATAAAAAGTCTCTCGATTTCACCACAAAAGTGGCAAATGTTTAATTAATCTATACGAGTCACGTATATAATATCTGTGCGTGTTAAAAGTTCATTTCTATTAAAATTTCATTCCAGTAAAATCAATTCCAATATTCCATAAAAATTGCATTCTGAAAATTGACATAATTAAATTTCTAAGTGTATGTGAAATTTGCCAACCATGTACAATATGTGACATTCTTAATGGCAATAGAATTTTATATAGGTACATATATTAAAGCGACAAAATATTGCGACACTCGCAATAGTTAATGACGTTAATGTGTCGCATATGACGAATTATATTTCATAAGAAATAAAAAGCTGTGCTTTCTTTAGGAAAACGAAGAGGAGCCTGAAAATATGTACATCTCCAACGTATCACCGAATCCTGGCAGTCATAATGGCTCGCCAGCTCAAAGCTTTCTGGAGATGTTGAGCAGCGGACCGAGCAGATCACCTTCGCCAGCTCGACCGCCCACCATCGATCACGAGGACGTGAATAATCCCAGTTTGACCAATTGGGGCTTTCAACACTTGGAAGGAAATGTAAATATCTGGATCAATTAAAAAATTAGAATCACATACAATTTTTTAATTATGTTGCACAAAAGTAAATAATTAAATGTAAATTCAACTCAAAGATTAAGAATAATGTGCATAGAGATATGCAAAAAATTGAACGTATTAACAAAATAAAAATCTTTATCAAAAAATAAATTAACATTCGAATAACATTTGAATTTTTCTTTACGTGTATCGATTATACGTGTCCAATGGATTTTAACAGGAAGAAGCAGTGGACGCTCGTGTGGAAGCTATGCTCTCGCCGAGGAACTCGCTGTTGCTACCTAGGAGATTTTACTCCGAGGAGGAGATACAGCCGAGTACGCTTAGCTCATCGGAAATGGGATTGAAGAACCTTGCAAAGCACATTAACGGCCTGAAGAAGAAGATCAAGAAGTACGAGGACGAATTTGAGGAAAACTTCGGCTATCGACCGAGTCACTCTGACAAAATGAGCAATCGCGACATCAAACGGCTGTGCACGGAGCTCAATAAGTTGCGAAAGGAACATAAATTACTGAAGGAGGATCCGATAGGTGCGCTTCTGGCCAACGCCAACAATCGGCTAAACACCACCAGCAGCCCCATAAATAACAACAACGGTCACGAAAAATCCCGTGCGACGTCCATGGAAGAGGTGGTCAAGGAGGCTGAGAAGAAACTCAACGAGAAGCGCATCAAATATAACCGGCCCGACAACATGGAGGAGCTCAATTACGATCAGTTGTTGGACGAGAAGACGGCCGTGCAAAAGGCATTGCTTCACATCGAGAATACTTTTGGCAGACCAGTCTCTAAGGAAGACAGAACGGTCGTGCGACCGTTGTATGATCGGTACAGAACTTTAAAGAGATTGCTCATCAGAGCGGGCGCGGTAAGAACGATTGATTGGTATCAACTATGATTCTTTCCTTGGAATCAATTTTCAAAGAGAAATGGCAATATATTATTGTCACATTGTACATTACAGAGTAAGAACAAGGACAGCGTTTCGGAACTGGCCACGATTTTAGAACATGAGACAATGGATTTTACGTCATCGAATCTACCGGGAAATCCCGTGGAGACTGACAGAAGAGCCAGCGAACCTGACATGTCACATCGAGGGATCTTGGACTGTATCGATCCCGTGGATCAATTACCAACCGACAGCGACAGTGGGCATAGCAGCAGTGAAGGTAGTCGCGGTGCCGGTGAAAGTCTTCACGCTCTTCCCCAGTAAGTTTGAATTAAGATTAAATTTTGAGAAAGTGTTACATATTCCTTATTTTTACCTTACTATTTACCTTTCTATTAACTTTAATTATATTTAATTAATTTTATAGAAGATAGAAACTATTACTACTAAAAATAGAATAAGTCCAATAGAAACGATTATATTTGTCGACGATTCTTATTGAACGAGTCATCTCTTCTTTTTGTAGAGAAGAATTACTGATACAACAACGTGCCACTCGAGAGGAGAAGAAACGACTTCGTAGGGCATTGAAGGAATTAGAAGCGCAGTTCGAAGCCCGAGCTGGTCGTCGTATGCAACGTGAGGATCGCGGACCGCAAGTCACCACCGTGTACGAATCCTACAAGCAGGCAAAAGCGAAACTGAGACTGATTGATGCCCTCATAGCTAAGAAGGCTTGACGTAGTATTTAATTCGCGAGTACTGATGCGAGACAACATTGTTGAAAACTTTTAAGCGACCTTTGAACGTCTGTAAGAGGATACAGTTGTCGCACTACGCAGCCATATTCATCGCCATCTGCAATTCCTGCATCGTACGGCGATGATTAAAAAGGCCTGAAAAAGCAATATCTGCTGAAGTGAAGAACACAACTGTAACGTAACGAGAATCTATCTAGAATCAAAAAAATTTCGAGAACAAAAACGTGAAAGTGGATAATATTTGTGAAAGATTTACTTCGCCTTCGTAAGATCGTGCATACCGTATATTCCCTTATACGGTTTCTTTTCGATAGCAGATTCCGTTCGCGTTACAACGCTGGGGAAATGATACCGAATGTTTTCAATGCTAGCGTATCTTTTTTACAGCATCCTTTTCGGTCAACATAATCGATATGTTAAAAGTACGCATAAATGAACAACATATAGCAATAGTATGTCTACAGAATAAAATCATAATATCGTGGTAGTACATTTGAACTCTTTAAAAGCGCTAATAATTCTACATAAAATGGTTATTACGATGTGATGTATCGTAATTGTTCGATGAAATAATCGCGTATCTTGTTCACTTTATATTTAACGTGTTCGTTTGCAATGGAAGATTTCCATTTGATTGTCCTCCATTCATTTCATCGTGTATGCAGCATTAGGGTACATTTTTGCCGTTAACGAGAAACTGGATGCTTATTTTGATATATTTACAGTTTATGAAATTGATCAGTTACGAATATATAAAAATGTACTTATATTTTATATATTTATATATATATATTTGTTGCAAAGATTGCTAAACTCTTGTTTGTATTTAAAGTGTCAAGTTTTATAGCGATTAACGCAAGAACAGATATTGAACAAACAAGGATGTGTCATTTTAAATCGTTAAGGCAACTTGAGATCTATCCAATATAAACGACGTGTATCGTACGATTGCGAGAAACGTGTCAGGCAGAGCACATTTATTTCAAAGTCAAATATAATTTTATTTTTGTAACATTTACATCTCGAGAAGAATAGGAACCATTTAATATTCTTTCATTATCGGGAGGAGTTTTTGTTTAGTTTTGTTGATTGTGAAGCCGGTTGAATTTTTCTCACTGATGATAATTATTGTAATCGATAAGACTTAAAAGAGAAAAGATAGAGATAAAAGCAGGTGTCCATACAATGATTAACGTTTATTATGGACACGATATTTATTTTATCATCTTACGCGGTAATTGCTGAAGTCTAATGATGAAAGAGTAAAGAACGAATCTGTGGGGTTACTCGTAACGTAAGTACCTTGTAAGAGATATCACATGTTGTAATATTGTAGAGTACTATAAAATGTTACGATCTTAATAACGTATTAAAAGAGAAAGAGAGAAAAAGAATATTCACTAAGAGAAGCTCGTTGATTTTTGCGTTTATATTTTTGTACAAGTACGATTTTAAGGCCATTCGCAATGTATACACACACAACCGACTAGGGACTACTATCGTAAAAACGCCTTAAAATTCCACTTGGATCGATTTTTTCACTTAGAATCTCGAGAATCAAGGGTGCTAATGGCTTGAGTTCTACCGCATGCCGACTAACACGAAAGAAATGCTTTGCGAATCTCACTGTTGAGTTACATCGCGCCGAAGGGGGTTTTTTTTCTCATTTTACCACGACACAGCGACGAAGTCAGCCATCATTTCAGAATCGAAAGTTCTTAATATGTAATCGAGACACAAAAGCCGCGGTGGTTATAATTCTTCTGGTATCAAGAAAAACGAAGATCGGCGTGAAAACTCGCTGATCCCGCAGGATAAAATTAACGAAAATAATCATATATCGATGGCAGCGAAGCGAACACATAAATGCGAAATGCGTATTCGTTCTAATTAACAAAAATCGGTAAGAAAAAAAAAGAAGGAAAGATCAAGACAATTTTTTAGACCAAAGCATTTTTTAGTCTGTGATATAATGAGAGATATATTTGCGTTAAGATGGGAGAGTGTGTGTGTGGAGTACTCGGTTCCGTTTCTGTTTTCTTCTTTTCGTGAAAACAATTTTGTAGAAGAGCAGGCTAAAGGGAGATGATTTTTCCGCCGATGATTTCTTTGCAGGAGGTGATTGAAATCGGCGATATCTTTCTTCAAAAGATCCTACAGCGACGACGATAGCATTAATAAAGCAGAGTCCTTTTTCGAAAGAACGGTTGGAGACAGAGATTACGAGAAAATGGATTTTTTCGTAGGCCAGTGATCGAAACGAATATGAAAATAAATATTAAATATTCAGCAAGGATGCATCACTTTGCTAATTGGTCGATCCATGAAATTAATTAGTCTCTTATCCGCTGCCGTTTAATTACTTCTTCGTCATTTGATACGTAGCGACTAAAAATGTGCGACAGTAGGAGCACTTTATCGCCGCGATAAGATCGTTCTCCGCGCTCGCCGCGGGATTCTTGTCCTCCATCCGTACTGCCAAAAGGACTGCGCTGTACACGAGAGAAAATTAATTTTTGTATTCGATTGTGCCCACAGGAGTGTTTTTATTTCTCGCGGGTGCACTTAAGCCGCGCCCCTCCACTAGTAAAAAAGAGAGAGAGCAAATTAGTATTATCGTAGATATAAGATAACATTTTATATTAACGTTAACTAAGATACATTTTGTAGTGGATAGTACCTTTAACGCATAAGGATAGATCGCGTGATTCTGTGTAGACGCTTTGAAAGGAAAGGAGAGAAAGAGAGAGAGAGAGAGAGAGAGAGAGAGAAAATGCAAGAATACTTTAAAAAAGAAGACAGAATATAGAGGGAAGCGAAGAAAAGAGAACATTTTATTTAGCAAAGCTAAGAGACATGCTAGATCGTGACTCCTTTAATTAGTACTTCAAAAAAAAAGAAAAACGCTAGATATTCCGTGCAAATCACATGATCTACGAACATATCTAGAGAGATTAGAATCTTACGACAGATGGAAAGAATCGAAAAAAGTGCAAAAAAAGAAATCAGTAGCGTAACGATCAATTTCTCTTGGATATCGTAACTGCAACTGACGATTACAACCGACCGTGAGAGTCGCGACGACGAGAAATCCGTATCTAGCTGGAGTCCTAAGAAAACCATCTTCGGCGTTTATACACACATGTTGATTCTGTATATACATATATATAAATATATTATATGTATAGAGGCACACAACAAACAAACACACACACACACACACACAGAAGACGAAGAGCTGCGTATACAGAATTACATACAACCCATTCACGCATGCGAACGAATAATACACATTATTATGGGGTAGCAGGCAGAATCGAATAAAATGGAAATATGATCTGCTGGAAACGTTCGTTTTCTTTTTTATTGCCCCTAAAGAAGAAAGGAAGCGAAGAAACACCTCCCCCGTTAAATTGTTCCCGTTAAATGCGTGTCATTCACACCACCGAGCGGAAGGAGAGATTGACTGGTGCCAGCCTTTTCCCCCGCGATTTCCTGAAATTCCACTGCATCAATGTGTATAGGCGGCTTTGATAAAAATAACTCGAATTTTATTTCATTTTCTTGTTTTTTTACCGTGACTCGACTCTACGACATTATACGACACGAGCTGCTTATGAAAAGTCTGAATCTGCCGCAATAACGCAGCCAGCTGCATAGAAGCGGGCGGTTCTCGCGTCGCATTGTAAACTCCTCTTCGATCGACGATCTGCGCCGGATTCATCGTATGGGACTTTCCAGGTACAATCGACAAGGGGAAGGGATCCTTGAAGGCCCCCTTGACCGACTCGGTCGCGACGCATACCAGACTGTTTCTTTCGTGCAGCATTTTCATTTGCCGCTTCAGCGTCATTACCTGTTTTCGCAGTGTCATTGAGAACAATGTGTGCATGACAGCGGAATACGTTGCATATCAATAACGACACTCACTTCTTTGTAGAGACCGACGACGGCGTTGATTTCTTCTTCCTTGGCATTGAGCTCCTTTTCCAAAGCGGACAATTCCTTCGCCAAGGACGTATCGTTGGACCTGTCCACCTCCGACTGCAGTCTCTCGTATTTTCTGTAAAGAACATAGCCGGCAGCTCGCTTACCAAACTTTTAATTTTAACGACGCCAGCACACTCACGTGTTCATCTCTTCGAATTGATTGTGAAGATTGATCAGAACGTCGCGCATCTCCTTAGAATTGTGCGAGTCGGGAATACGTATTTTGTGATCGCCGATGTTACCCTGCGGTATCAACACGTCATTATACGCTTTAACGCCAACCGCTAGAATGCGATTTACCTTTAACGATGCCCTCGAAATTCCTTTCTGATCTTCGGAACTCGCCAGCGTGTTGCTCTTGCTTATAACGGAAGAGGACCGCGCTTTAGTCCGACGATCGCAGAAATCACCTTTCTCTTTACGAGGCTGTTTAGAAACGTTACTAACATTATTCTCTTTTTCAGAAGTCATTTCTGCATCGCCGGACATCTTCGGCGCGCAGCTGCCTTGCGTCTTTCCCACGTGTTGCAAGTTAAACGCGGACAATCTTCTGTCACGGTCCAGGTTCTCCCCGCTGATAAACGTCCCAGTCGTTTGCGGGCTCACGTTGAGAAGCGATCCCTCGTAATGACCGTTCATCTGGTCCAGAAGAATCGACACTGGTCTCATCCCCCGGCTGACTTTGCGGATCAATGACGGGGTGACGTCGCTCGCGATCGGCTGCCTCGTCTTTATCACGCTCAATACCTGCGTTGCAAAGAACGTTTTGCTTTCTCCCTAGATCAACTGCTCTTCCCGAAGAAGCTCCGTCGGCTCACTTGTTGTATATTTAATCCGAGGTTGTGACTCGGGGTCACCGAGGTCCCCACCACGAACGGGATGTTCCGAAAGCTGAACCTGCTGAAGTACGATCTGCCCGAGCGTTTTAATTTCGACGCCAAAGTCGGCATCTCATAGCTGGGCATGAACATCGGATCGTCATGCCTGTTGAAAGCGCGCTCGCACTGTCGCGTCTCAGCCCGCGCCGACGAACCAAGATCGCTGAATTGCTTCTCCAGCTTGTCTTGTTCCTGTGCAACCTCGGGCGTCGCTCTACGAGAAAAGAAGTTCGCTAGCAGTAAGGCTGTGGCAGGGAACGATCCGTAAACGCTTAAGACTGTCTTAGTCGTAGACGTTAGTCGTGAAAGGCTATTGTATACGACTTACGTTTTTCTCTGCCTCGCCTTACGTCTACAACTAAGACAGTCTTAAACGTTTACAGATTTTCTCTGCCATCAGCTTAATAATGATAGACATCCCTACTTAAAATAATAGATAGAATACGATCAGATTACATTAGATTACATGCAGTTTCAACGTAAATTAATAAGACTCTTATTTATGTACATTGAAATTGCATGTAATGTAATCTGATCATATTGTATATAATATTTTAAACAGGGATTCGATGGTAATAGTTAATGATAATAATAGTAACGTCAATGTGAAATAAGATGATTATGTTCATCGATTATCAAGAAGCATTACAACAACGTAACGGTAATTAATATTAATGATTACTAAATTACTAAAGTATTATAATTAGAGGTAATTACCCCGGGTTATTTTTACAGTTTAATGCCTGAAGACACTGAGCTTGTTCATTTTTGTTATTGTAGGATTGATCTTCGCGATTAACACGTTCGGAGCACCTGTCTCTCGGACTCGGCACCGCTGCCTCTCGGTTCCTCCTATCAACGGCCTCAGGAAGATGCGGTTTTTCTTCATACTTGACGCCACTGACTTTAGAGTGCTTACTCGACACCCCGGAATTGCTGTCCTTCACTCTAGTATTGTGAAAAATTTCCACAACGTCATTAAATTTCTTCGGCTGCTTTGGGGGATTGAATTGTCGTTGCGCAACACCATTGCCTGCGACAAAAATTATCACTGAACAACGATCCATTGATAGCGGCACGATATAACTGTACATATGAAGAGCTGGATTGTAAAGTCGCAAAATCGACTTTCCACCTTTGTGCCGGCGTCTCTTCGCTTCTTTTCTGCCAACGAAACCCGTGTCTTTGGTGGTAACCGTGCTCTTGGAAACCGAACTCCGTAACTTGGCCTTTCTCTTCCGCGTTTTAGATACCGCGTTATCCGTCCTGTACACGGAGTTTATCTCGCTTCTCCCCGTCCTTGAGCTACTTTTCATCACTCTTCTGGCTTTTGCGACATTCGGCGTATCCCCGAATAAATTAAATCCCGGATCAACTATACCGTCGATATCTTCATCGCTTCTTCTCGCGCAGTGCGGCTTTACGCGGGGATAAACCTCGTCCGCTTGCGTCGTCAGCTTCTCGGAGGACATACTCGACGGGAAGTAATAACTTTTATATTCTCTATCCGCCTATTTGTTACGGAGCTCGTAAGTACGAGAATACGTACATGAAAAAGTAAAACGTATAATCTCGCGTACGCCTACTTCCGTGTTCTCGTCCTGAGTCGGCATGGTCGTTATCGAACGAGGAAATTTCTTATCCAATCGAGACCTCGGTGTAATCGTAACATTCAGTAGTCCTCTCTGCCGTCCCTGTATCAGACTCTCGGACCTCTCGACAATATCATTGTCGTCGATGCTTCTTCTGGGCGAAAACCGAGTAGACTTCGGGCTCAAATTGAAAGTGTCTACGGGAACATGGATATTTAAACGTGCCGACTTATCCCAGTGAGAAATGATTCGTGGAAATGTCGATACGACATCGTTTCGACATCGACCGACGAGTCATTTCTCGCTGGGATTTTTAATCGCGAACGAATTGTCTTACCAAAACTTTTTTCAGCCTTCAGTCCAACACTACGATTTCCCCGAGGGACATTACAGTTTGCAGTTTCGGTGCCTGCAATTTCGCTGATACAATCACTATGCTCGATCGGAGATTTCGAGCCTGGATTTTGAAATGACGATATCGCTGGCGAAATGTCGGACGTTTCTTTACTGCCCTTTATCTCCGTTTGGACGTTCCGGTAAACACCCATAATGTAATTTAATTCCGACTTTAACGTAAAGCACTTTGTCTCTGCCTTGTCCAATTCCTGTCCGATCCCTAAGTGAAGTTAGTGGCTGGCATTATTCAAATTGTTTCTTATTTTAGACGCTTTCGAAAATTCTGTAGTTTGGAAGAAAAGTTTGAAACTAATTCCGACATTGGCGTATAACGGAAAATACGTAACGCAAATATAAATGAGAAAATATGGTTTTTCTAAGCGATAATACTTCTTAGCGCGATGTTCGGTCTGCTTTCCGTTTCGTTTAATTTGTATAATTGCATTTCGGATTGATTGTTCAGAAGTGAAGCTGAAAAGCAAAATTATGACAGGATATATAGAAAGCTTAAAAAAATAAGTTGCTAACAAGAGTCAAAGTCCACTCTAGGTTTTTTCGTATTCATTTCTCAAGATTTTATTCTTCATTGAAACAATTACCAAAAGTCCCGCTCGTATCGTTTTGAATATTCATGTTGGTTACATCAAATTCTTGTCAAGTTTCATAATTTTTCCTTTGCATTTACTGCATTTACAATTTAATGTGCATTGTTCGACATTAAATTACACTGTCTTTTTTCGTTGCAAAAAGGATAATTTGTTCTTCACAAAACGCATATACAAAATAGACATGTAAAAATCACTCGTAGGTTACAGTTATACAACACGGTGGACGATCACATCCTTCTCTTGTTGCGGACGCATCTTTCTTTGTTTTGAAATATTCACACACGGGGACAAATTCAATAGGGCCGGTTTCACCAAATGCCGCTTAACTTCAACCTTAGTTTAATTCGCTTAGGCCCGGTTTCACCAACGTCTCTTAACTTTAATCTTAGTTTAATTCGTTCGTTGTCTCTTGCCACCTGTTACTTCAGAAAGAGACAAACTTGAATTAAACTAAGATTAAAGTTAAGTGACGTTTGGTGACACCGGGCCTTAAGTTAAATATGTTTGTTCCTTTCTAAAGTAACAGTTGGAAAGAACGAATTAAACTAAACTTAAAGTTAAGCGACGTTGGTGGAACCAGGCCTTACGCAATTCGACAATGGAGGCGCGAGACACTTTAAAGTTTCGCCATTTCGATGTTGCGACGATAATCCAGATAGAATCCACATACTTCTCGAAATTGTATCAAAGAAAGTGCCACGTTAACAGTCGACAAAATCTAAACCGTCTAAAAATTGAATCTGCCAATTTATTCGTTCAATCGCGATTTCTTTTTCGTCACAATGCCCCAATTAAACTGAAATTACATCGAGATACAGGGCGACCCCGATCAAACTCTAATTACTTCAATCGGGATTAATTCAACTGGCGGAATCATTTAAAGCAAAGCCTCTATCTAGTAAAAGTATCTTCCGTTCTTCGTCGCCTTGGATCTAATCTTCTCTCCCATGTCAAATAATAAGAAAGTAATCATTCTATTTGCGTTGACAAACAATATGGATACTACTCGAAAACTTAAGCATCAATTAAACCAATCGGCAGTTGATCGAGCGCGCTCATGGGACTCGAGATGCTTTTCGCGGTCAAGTTTCAAACTTCGGGTATTCTCGGCCAATTTCGCGCGCTTTCGTCACGCGCTCGGCCCCCGCCGCCAGGTCGCGCTCGGCTCGCGCGCCTCTCGCGCGAGAGCGGTATTTTAGGGGCGCGTTCGTTCAGAGTGCGACGACGACTGCAGCGAGCGGTGAGTGGTGAGAGCGAGCAGTGGCGAGCAGCAAATGGTGGACGGTGTGTGACGCTCGTTGCGTTTAACATCAGGTAGGCTGAGTTCCCCCCCCCCGGCTCGCGGGAGCCGACGACGTCGCGCCGCGTCCCCGACGGCCGTCGTCGGCGACCGTCGCGTCGATCGACCGACCGGCGACGGTCGGAGATTGCGCTTGTCAGTTACGTAAAAATCCGCCGCGGACCGAAAATAGTCACCTGACTCCGCGGTACGTACGCGGTAGCACCCTCCCCCTCCTTCCCCCTTTCCCGCTCGACCTCGTCGCGCGGTCTTATCGAGAGGGGGCGGGGAAGAAGGAGAGAAAGAGACACCCGCGATAAGAGAATCCGACCCCCCTCGTGACGAAATCCAAACCGCCGGAGCCGTCAGTCTCGCGCGACGGGGAAGGCGTGGGCGAGTTTGTGGGCTCGTAGGTTAAGGTGCACGCCTGTGGAGCGTCAAGACGGCGAAGTCTCCTCCCCTGCTCCCCTCTTCGTCTCCGCGGTAAGGATTGTGAATCACCGGCGCTTTCCGCGAATTGTTAGAACTTCAATAGGCGTTAAAGGCCTGTTGGCGGTCTCGTTAGCGACTCGTTAGCGCGTCGCTCCCCGCCGGTTTATTCGATCGGGGGTCGCGTGCACTTCGCGCGTCCGCTTCCCCCGACTCGCCTCCTCCCGAGGCTGCCGATGGTCGTTCGGTCGTTCCGCGGCCTCGGCGTGGCCGTCGCACAAGTTTTTCCAGCGTGTCGATCGACGACGCTTTAGGGAGCATCTAGAGTATTCGACAACTTTTCCAGCCGGACAAGCACGCTTGACAAGTACGGTGGTACGCTTTGCCCTTCCTCGTCGACGACTTCCTTCCGCGCGTTTGACTGTGATGGCGAAAAAAGGGGCACGAAAGCTCGTCTCGTCCGCCTCGCCGTCGTCGTAAAAACCGGAGCGGTTCTGGAAGGATCGACCGGAAGAGAAGGGAAAGCGCGGCAAGCGTAGACACGTGCTGCCAGGAGAAACGTGATGACACGTGGTCTCGTCGTTTCTCGCAACTCCCCTCTTTCTATTTCAAAGATCCCGATGTATCTAGCTGTTTCTGGTTACGAGTGGTATCGGAGGCATTGCGTTTGTCCGTATTCACCCTTTTTTCCGCTCATTTTGATTCGAGCGGATCGTTTAGCTGGAAAAGATAAACGTGCAATCGCGATCCGCGCGATAAACGATCTCCGTTGACGGTAAAGCGCGGAATTTTCATTTGTAATTCAATGCGAGCTCAATTGTACACGGTTTGTCGAGCGAACGTGTTACGCTCTTGTGATTTTTAGTAAAAAGTGAAGGGTGATAGGAATTTGATAAACATACGTCTATGGCAGTTGCAGATTTTTCGATGCTACTCTCACTCGCTCCGCGTAAATTGTTCGCGTGCCAGTGGCCTATTTAATTTAACTGCGTACAATTTTGCAGCTTTTCATTTCATTGAATAGAAAGAAAGAACGTCAGGAAAGCACAGAAGGACAAAAGTATAGATTAACATGATCTTTCACATTCTTTTCCGTACGATGCCTAAAGTAAGTATTCATTCTTGGAACACGCGAGTAAAAGTACAAGAGAATTTTTTGAACATGTCGGAGGATAAACTCTCGACGACAGTATTTCATTCATTTAGGTATTGCATTTATTGTTCCTATTTGTAATCAAGTTTTTACATTGTTAAGTATTTGTGACACCAACTATTACTTTTTGATCCTAGCCTCACCGAGGACGGCCCGAAAATGGCTCGAAACGTTTGGATATTAATTAGGCGATGAAAAAGTTCCACGTTGGATAATTTCGCACGGACACCTGCGGTTGGCTCGCACTTGGCCCTTTCTCCCTACCTTACTAATGCCGGCATTCTACATCTAGGGATGAGCCTACTTGTGGCTCATCCGAGTGAGCAAATATACGGACAAAGATCGACTGAGACCGTTTATGGACTGCGGTGGCATTTCTACGTAACAAGACGGTTAAAAATCATAGTGAAATCATACAGAAACCGTTACAATTACTTACAATTAGGGCCAGTTTCACAAACGTCAGTTAACAGCTAACTGAAGGTTAACTGATTCTCTGTCTCTTCTTGGAGAACAAGATAGAAAAAGATAGGGACTTGACTGAACCCTCGTCAACGGTTAACCGACGTTTGTGAAACTGGCCCGAAAAGTAACGACATTCGTTGTTTCGTGAAGCGCGATTTCTTTTTTATCTGTCGCAACGTCAGGTGTTTCCGGCTGATCCAGAATATTTCGAGTTACATGCGTGTAACATTTGCCGCGAAAAAGTATCCCGATCGCGTCTTTCGCCGGCGAAATTATCAATAAACTCGCTACGTAATTGCTGATGCTTTACGCTGCTACACGCGCACACGAAGTTCACTCGAGTAACGGCGCGGCCGCGTTCTCGGGGACCGACGGTTTTCGCATCTGCATTTCTGACGTGAGCGCGACAGCCCAGGTATTCCCCACCTCCCGCCGCCGCGGGATCTCGCGGAGGCTCTTTTACGACCTACGTAATGAGGAGACGGGGAGAGCCCGGGCGCAGTGTTTCCCGGGTAGTCACGTGTGCGTGAACGAGGCCAGCGATCGCCTCGCAGCGTGCTCGAAGAGCCGTCGGTCGGACTTTGAGTTTCATCCTTCCCGATTGTGTTTTTCTTTTATTTTCTTCCCTCCGTCCACGCTCTTCCGCGTCTACTTGGGCGTCGAGTAAAGGAAGCAGGCTCGAGGTAAATGCGGCGCTAAAATCTGTACTTTGTAAGGACGCGGCGGCCCGTGGAGAAAAAGCGGCACCGACTCGATGGCCTTCGTCGCTTTACCGCCTGATTTTGTTGCACTGTTTGAAGTGAAAGGGAAATGTCGATTATCTGTAAGATTTTTTCTACTTGCTCTGTCTCGTTACTCGCCTTATCGGACCTCGCAATCTTATCTGCGGAGAAAGGGGCACGTAAGTGACGCCAGATGTTTCCGCCTCCGAAATTGCGTCAATTGAGAGGCGGGGTCTAGTTCGGTTTTGCCGCTTGTCAGATAAATAATGACTAATAATCGCCAATTTTGTCGAGATATTGAAATTTGTTCTCAAAGTCGATATGTGAATATTTTAATCAAATTGAATTCAGATGTGCCCATAAATATTGAGCGGATATTCTATAAATATTCAACAGTTTTAATTAAAGCTGTCCACTGTCTGACCGGTAAGACTTTTCGTTTGACGCACTGAAAAAAATTTCTGGTTGAATATGGACGAATCAGATAATTCCTTTAGGATTTACCAGAATTCCTGTAATCCTACAGAAATTCTGGTAAATCCTAAAGGAATTATCTGATTCGTCCATATTCAACCAGAAATTTTTTTCAGTGCGAAAATCCTCTTTTTTTTTACGTTAAGAAGAAAAGCAATGCTTCGAGTGCTTTATCTTGGAATATTGTGCGCGTTTCTGGCAGACAGAATGACGTCTACCGGGGCTTATCTGGATTCCGTGAAGTCTCGACAGTGCAAACTTTAGTGGCTGTACTATGCTTTTTAGCCTTTGCTCCGATTTTTAAAGGTAGCACCTCGGGCAGCATTTTGCGAATAACCGTAAGTGCGTCCGCGTAAGAATGTTTCGTATGTGAAACAGCATGTAAAATGCTATTTTGTATTTATACCGATGTCCACACGTCCTCTCGAATGATATTTAGAAAATGTTTTTTTCGCCGCTTTCTGTGAAACGTTTGTCATGTATTTTTTTCTCGAGCAACGTTACGCAATCTGGAAACCGGCCAGTTCTTAAAAATAGAGCGGTAACGCCTCAATATTCATGGTACATAGATTTATCAAAAGCGGAACACAGAAACTTCGTAATACATAAATATTAGTCGATCGAGCATATATTAATGATAAAAATGAACACCGCAAATAATTTCATGTAGCAATCCTTTTTTAGTAATCTTTTATAATGACCTTTCCGCGAAATTATACAATAATTGCGTGTCATCTGTTGAACGATAAGCCCGTGAATGTCGGCCACGTATTTATTGCAAATTTGACGCAATTATGTCTCCACACGCTAAGATGCGACGTAACGAATTCTATGAAAACACATCTATATTGACCGGGGTTTTATTTAACCTGTGCACAAACAAGCACGGACATATACATGTATATTGCAACATGTAAGAATGCCTAGATATATCGGTCGTGCTTACACAATTGCAAAATGCGCCTTTGATGTTTCCTCCCCGATTCTTAGTAATCAATGGATATGACTTGGCAGGCAAAGTCTAGAAATTCAGTGATGCAACGGGGACAATGATAAGGCGACAGACTGGCAAATAAGACCAGACAAATCAAATCATACGTGGCGAGAGATTAGCTTATTAGCGTGTATTGCCGCTACGCTTATCAAAGTTTACGTTCTCATTGAGGCCTCGGTGTGCGTGGCACCTAACACACTCGATTTAAATGCAAGCCGATCCTCGGACGGCGCACTTCATCACTCAGGCATTTAAATGGCGTATAATAATTAAATATTAAACAAGCCTTATCGGTAACTATATGATGCGCAGTTTCGGTAGCTCGTTTACGTCTCTGCCGTATCGGTACTATACGGCCAAGTTATTCCATACGAGACGAAATGAGGCGACGAGTGACTTCCCGTGTCTAGCTCAGTAGGGAGAGCATTCGCCCGGAAGGTTCGAGTCCTGGGGGCTCGAATCTTTTCTTCTAGCGTGAACTCGGGGAAAAATTTCATTGAGCCATTTCACTCTTCGTCAATGAAATTTTGCACCTTTCGCGAATTCACGCTCGAGGAAAGGATTCATGATCGAGCTTCTGGTCCAGCCCATTGACTTTTCTCGTCGAGAATTGATAAGTGGCGCGACTTAGCTCTTACCTCCTCGAAGATATACAGCCTTACTTATTACTACGAACTGTTCCAGGTCAAAATGTATAAGGCAAGGACGATATTCAGCACGCTGGCCCCCTTGGCGCCGCGCGTATGCGGACCGGAGAGATACGCGTCCTGGGTGGTCCGCAGTCACCCGTTGACCAGGACCAGCCAGGTGATTTTCACGGAGCCGGCGCGCAGGTACAACAGCCGGGCGGCAACCGAGCCCTTCCTCAACGGCAGCTCCAGCAACTACGTCGAGGAGATGTATAACGCGTGGCTGCAAGATCCCAACAGCGTTCACGTGGTAAGTAAAGTCAACGATACTATTTTTTTCCTACTGGATCGCTTGCGAGAGCCAATAAGGATGCAGCAGAGTTTTAGATCAGGTGACCTAAGGCTAAATCCTGACTGGCTCTCGCAAGCAGTCCAGTAGGAAAAATAGTATCGTGTGCCGTTGACTGAAATCTAAAATGTATCGCAAGCATACAAGTCAGAGTTAAATGTATCTTTCCGGACTTAGGCATTAATTATATTGACTTTAATTGTATTTGTATTGTAGAAATACCAAATTGCGAATTTTAATGCATTGACGTAGACTGTGTTTGTATTATTAAATTGTTACGCTCCACAGTCCTTATTATATAAGATCGGTTCTTACGAGCCTCTTGATTCTTAAGCCAACGGCACACGATATTATTTTTCCCGAGTTTTCGATCAGTGACTCAAAGCTGAATCCTGATTGGCTCTCGTAAGCACTCCAGTAGGAAAAATAGTATCGTGTGCCGTTGGCTTTATTTACCTTGATTTTCAATCTAAGTGCGTGTCCTTGTACAAACTTTTGAAGTCAATTTCTCACCACAGGAGAGCCTTAAAGTCCGTTGAAAAGATAAAGAGGACGTACATCCATTGTTTTCTCTCATGAAAGTTATTTGATCGTGCCGTTTATTTATATTATAGATGGAAAGATTTTCCTTAAATTTATTTCACCTTTGTTTATTCGTAGTCATGGGATTCCTTCTTTCGAAACAGCACCGCTGGAGCTGCCCCGGGATTCGCGTATCAGGCACCACCCTCCCTCGCTCCAAGTTACAACCAGGTGCCACTCGGAGCGTTGTTGCCCCTAGGCGGCGGGACGCAGCTCGGCCAGGCGCCGGTTAATGAAAAAATTATTGATGACCACCTTGCGGTGCAGGCTATTATTCGTTCTTATCAGGTATGTTATCGGAATTTCGTTTGCTTTTTATCCCCGCGGTAACGAATTTCAACGTGCTCTGTTCTTGCAAACAAGTATCTCGCGCATGACAATTTCATGTGTGACATCATACATTAATTCATGCAATTTTACGAAAGATATTTAAGTGATAACAGCTCCTAGTCACTGCCGTTCGTGTTACCTTGTTTGCAAGAAACGATTGCTTCGTTCAGTGTATAATTTACTTTAGGTAACGAAATGAGTAATTAAATGCAACAAAAGTTGCTTTATCGATATTGCTTCCATGGTGATACCTTAGTTATATAAAAATACTACTTTCCAGTAATTTTCTGCTCCTGTCTCTATTATCTATTAAAGATGTAATATTGTAATACTCTATTTGATCACTATATAACATGTCTAATGTATTGAAGATGGAGCCTGGGGAAATCCGCTTTTGAAGCATACTAAGTTGCCCCATTAAAACCTGCATGAATAAGAATCTGTCTTATTTTAATAGCGAAATGTCAAAGATATATTGTCACGTATTTAAAATGTCTTAAAAAAAAACTTTAATGCAATGAGAAAATTTTACAAATTCCCAGCTCTCTGTCATTTTCGAAACAGATGCGACTATATTGTACTCTACGTTTTGAGATTTCTATTCATATATTATGGAAATAGCTGTCGTGGCATGCATCGATAAGCGTACATACATCAATATGTATATATGTATGCATGTAAATTCCACCGTACGAAATATTTTTGAATCTTTTGTGTCCCAGTTTCATTCATATGGAATAAGAATATCTTTCGTGGTGCAGGTAATACACACGTGATGCATTGATTAGAATTTATGTCCATATACTGTGTGCAATATAAACTTTATGCACAGTGAATACATCAAAGTGAGTCTGGGACACAAAATATTGTACATTCTGTTTAACTGTTAGGGGCTATCATGTGTGTTTCCAAATTTTCTGACATCATGTTTGTCTCATGTGCTGTCAACACATGATTATACGATAAGTGCGTCAAGTACAAACAGCAAACATTACATAATAGCCTCATTTTGGTATGATTACACTAGTGGCTCACTGCGTCTTCTATCTCAAGCATGTCTTGCATCTCCATATTATTTCCAACCAAAATAATAGTCGGATTTTCCAAATTGTGACGCTTTATGCCCCGATCTATTGACCCTTTTCTCAATATATCAGATACTCTTATCGTGGAAGAAGCAGCAGCACACTATTCTAATTATTTCATTAAAACGGTAGTTGTTTATTAAGTTACAGCAGTGCTTCTATTTTGTTTTGATTGCAATTAAATTATAATCGCGTGAGAAACGAAAGAGAATCCATTTCTTTTCATTGTCGTAATAGACGTTAATTTTTTGTACATGATGTGTTACAAGTATCAGAGCATATAAGTGGAATATTTGTTTGCCAAATTATCTGTGTGTAGCCGCCATATGATCTGTATTGCTTCCTTTTTTCTTGATTGTTATTACATGTACAGTAATGTGTAGTTTGCGAGAATAGACACAGTTTATATAAATGTGAGGTTTTTTCGGGATTATCCGTTGGCGTACAGGCCCGAGGTCACTTAGTTGCTGATCTGGACCCGCTGGGCATTATGCAAACAGACCTGATACACACGCATTATGCAGCTCGCAAGGGGTCTCCAGAGCAAGTGCTGCGACAGTATATGCTTGGTAAGGCTTTTCTTCCAAAGCATTTAAAGCGGGCTTTTGTTTTTCAAATATGCCATCTTCTCGCCATACGTGCCATACGTTTGAAGGTGTATGAGAATCGCATTGTACCGGTTTGGAGTATGTGGTGAAGTATAAATGCGTATGTAGAGTCAAATTGCCCGGCACATTTACTGCAACTTCATTCAAAACATCTCTTTTTCAATGTGCATTCAGTATTATCATTTCACGTAATCATCTTTGCATATTAACATTTTACCTATATTTTGCTAAAAGTGTTCTTCTACTTCTGCATAAACTTCCGAGCGTCTTTTGAAGAAGCAGTTACGAAAATTGTTTGCAATTTTCGATGGCGCAATTTTAAAACAATCTTAATGATTATCCGCTCTACAACGTATGGAACGTATTTTCAAAGTTCTGTTGAAGTAATATCTTTATAAATTTGAGTAAGAACTTTATTATTTTTTTATATATATTGTTGGAAATTTTACTTTTTTAGTTTCTTTGGTTTTTTTACCTCGGTTTTTTTACCTTGAAAATATCTTATAATTATTTCTAACGGTAGTTGGAAAGGATTGTGTGTATAAAGACTAAATATTATGTACTGCAGAGGGAAGGTATTTAACGAGCCTTGTATTGTGACAAACTTACACTGATACTGAAAATGTTTGAGAGAGCATTGTATTTCATTTTGGGAATCACATAGAAATGATACGCCCCATCTTTTCATAATGATCGATGACTCAATCGGACTTTGTAATCTGAATGTCCATGTACATGCAGGCATTGCCGAGTACGACACACTTATCATTATGCATTCATCGCGTTTATATTTGACAGAGAGTAAAAATAGACAAATATATACGTACATTGCCCGATAATATGCGAGTAAAATGTTGGAGGTAAGAACAAGGAAATATTCCTGCTGACTCTTTGCACGATTTGTTTATGTTATTGTGTGTATTGCTTTTGGACACCTGCATACGTTTTTCGTCTAGCATGCTCGTCCTTATGAAATTACACATAACTAACACCCCGCGCGCGATTATTTTTCCTTGTACGAGTCGCGATAAGAAAGAGGACACTTTAATTAATAAAGCAATATAACGCATTAATAATAGGGAAGCTAAGGAGCAGATAACCCAAATGTTAGAAAAGACAATAGCTTCATATCTTAATATGCGTACTTAATGTCAATTACTGTGACATGATGTTTTTTTTTAAGAGCACAACGATAACTTGCATCAAACGCTATGTATTTATCTTTGTCGTGATGCACCTGTTTTTTGAAAGAGCATAACATCAAGCACAGTAATTTATATTTTTGACTAAATATACTTAAATGAAATGAGACTTTGAAAACTATTTAGTTCGCATCAATGTGGCATTAAATTGACAGATCCGTGGCCATCATATCGCTAAATTGGATCCACTCGGCATCAACAGCGCTGATCTCGATGATAGACATCCGCAAGAATTACTCTATACGCATTATTCATTTGGTAAGCTTAATTAAACGTGTCTCTGCGTAAAATAGAAAAGAATATACTGTAAATTGACTCTCGAACAAAAGTGCATCACTGATTGCATTTGAAAACTCGATACTAATCGATAACGCAATCGTGTATATCTTCGAGTATTAATTTTCCGTAAAAACTTGCAGGCTACCATTGCACAAAACTCTGTTTAATTTTTTCTCTCGTGTTTAATTTGAGGATAAATGAATATTTCAATCTTCCAAGTACTTTATACACATGGAAACATGTAAAGTTTTGCTTCATGTTGTTAATTCATCACATCAGTAATTCAGTTTATCGCTTAACTCTTTCAGTACAGCACTTTTTTCCGTAACTCTACTTATTTTTTATTCTCTTTATCTCGTGAGCATAGCTGTTGTTTTGGTATGACCAGTACCGACAAATATATCATTGAAAGATAAGATGTGCAACACGTTTAATTATTAATCTAATCTAAAATAAATTAATATAATCAGAGATCTAGATCTATTGATTAATTTGTTAAATTTCTTGATTCGTTTTATTACGAGCAAGTATGAGCTGAATGCGGCAGGTAATGAGTAAAGAAGCCGAAGCTTTGGGGATCAGTATGCGATCCGATTGTTGAGTTTAAGTCTAATGTCCACAGGGAAGAGACCACGCACTACTTTCTCGCAGGAACTCCGATACCGAGTAGCTGTCCTAATGAAAAGTATGTAGTAACCGGCGCCCAAATCGGGGAAAGCTCTCTTACTTGCGCTAGTATATTGGGAGGCACTGGTTTATTTTGGGTTTGCACTGAATCAAATAGTTTTCAACCGAAAGCCTGTATACAGGTGCTTGGGTTCTTCTGCGTAAAACTTGTATCTCGACCTTGTAAAACGATATTTACAGGCAACAGGTAGTTTTCAAATGTCTTCCGTGGAGGAATTAGAGGAGGGACATCTGAGTATCGACGTGACAAAAGTTTTAATACAATAAACCATAGATGTAGATGTGAAACTTGACAAGAAAGAACTGGTTTTTGTGTTCCTCTTTTATTTTCTCTCTCTGTTAAATCAAAGTGTTGCGTATATTATCTCTGACAATTTTCTAACGTGTATTTCTTTCCTTTTATCTATGTTGTGTTTCTCTCACCGCATTTTATACTGTCTTATTTGCTGTATATTTTCCATTATATCTTCCTAGTTTGTTTTTGAAATATTTTCAAATGGTTGGTTCAATGGTGGTTGTTGTTTGAACTAACGATGCTTTACTTAAGCTCACAGCTTTTCTTCTGCATCAAAGGACCTTATTTTTCTTTCAGTTCGGTATTTGTTTGCACTGTCGTGCGTATAGTGATATGTTGTGACCATCAGTATCCTCACATCTCTTACAAAAATATACTGCATGTTCGTTTCAGATATTTTGCAACGTGTGAATATTATATCTATTATTAAAGAAACATACAGATGCAATGTATATTCAATATGATTTCTGAAATTAAAAGTAACTATTAGATCTTGTACTAAAAGAAAGTAACAGTGCTGTTGAAAGTAGACTTTTAAGATGTTACGTAGAAGGTACATTTTCAGTATCAGTTTCCAATAGAAAAATTAATGAAACGAAAAATATACATATTCCAACAGTTCAACTTACATACAATTTTGTTTACGTTTAATGGATTATTTTATATTAAATATGATTGCGCGATGTATTAAATATATCTTAAGTGTGTATAAGTATATAAAAGTTGTGAGCAATAGCTCTTTGCTTGTAAGTGCTTGGAGTACTTGAAAATGTTTTTCATTCCAAATACTTAATACAGAGGAATCGGACATGGATCGTGTTTTCAAATTGCCATCCACCACGTTTATCGGCGGCAAGGAGAAATCATTGCCGTTGCGTGAGATCCTGAAGCGGCTCGAGGCCGCTTACTGCGGTCACATCGGTGTTGAGTTCATGTTCATCAACTCCTTGGAGCAATGCAATTGGATCAGGCAGAAGATGGAAACGCCCGGAATTATGGAAGTAACAAATGACGAGAAGAGGCTCATTTTAGCCAGATTGACACGTGCAACTGGGTAAAAGCACCGGCGCTAATCTAATATCTAAATTAAAGAAAGAACATGCTGACTTTGAAGTTAGAAATTTTCAAGAAAATCAAAGTCTTGTACTTTTCTTGTTTTCTTACATTTTAATCTTCTTTGTTATGTCATTTATACTTATAGTTCTTCTAAAATACTTAAAAATATTATAATAATTGACATATGAGCATGGCAAAGTATGTATTATACATTCATACTCTCTGTTCCTCACGTATTCGTTTTGTGTCTAAGAAATGTAACTAGCAAATGGGTTTTTTTATTTGAATTACAGATTCGAGGCATTTTTGGCGCGCAAGTGGTCCTCGGAGAAGAGATTCGGCTTGGAGGGTTGCGAAATTTTGATTCCAGCGATGAAACAAGTGATTGACAAGTCCACGGAACTAGGAGTCGAGTCGATTGTCATGGGTATGCCACATCGTGGTCGTCTCAATGTTCTTGCTAATGTCTGTCGCAAGCCACTGAGTCAAATTTTCACGCAATTTGCTGCGCTCGAAGCCGCTGACGATGTAAGCATAAAACAAATTGTGCTTTTTAGCTACACAGAAAATGTATTTTGCTACTGCGGCTAGTTCGTCGATCCAAGAATTCCGTTGACCATAAAAGGATTTCAGGGTTCCGGCGACGTAAAGTATCATTTGGGCACGTACATAGAGCGTCTTAATCGAGTGACGAACAAGAACATTCGTCTCGCCGTGGTCGCAAACCCATCGCATTTGGAGGCCGTAGATCCGGTGGTTCAGGGCAAAACACGCGCCGAGCAATTCTACCGTGGCGACGGCGAGGGCAAAAAAGTAAGCGACTGCTATAGAAATGAAATTGTACCTTGGATATCTTTTATAACTAGACCACGTAATATGGCAATGAGCGGTTTAACAAGGAGAAATAATTAAAAAATTTTAATTGCGATTCAAGTCGATTAAATAGTTTATTAAAATGATTAAATATTATTGACTATTCAATAGCGCGTGGTATAATTATACGATCTTGGCTACGTTTATGAATATTAATTCATTTTTACGCGAGAATAACTTTATGTATGTTCTAGGTCATGTCCATTCTTCTTCACGGAGATGCTGCGTTCTGCGGTCAAGGCATTGTCTTCGAGACAATGCATCTATCTGACCTGCCTGATTATACCACTCACGGTACTATTCACATTGTTGTGAATAATCAGATCGGTTTTACTACCGACCCGAGGCATTCACGATCGTCACCGTATTGCACTGGTTGGTATTTACCGATGAAAATCGAGTTTTGTCTTTACTTTCTAATAACATCAATAATCGAGGAATTATTTATCAGATGTGGCCCGAGTGGTGAACGCACCCATCTTCCACGTGAATTCCGACGATCCCGAGGCCGTGATGCACGTGTGCAAAGTAGCGGCGGAATGGAGGGCTACCTTCCACAAGGACGTCGTGATCGATTTGGTCTCCTACAGGCGCAACGGTCACAACGAGATTGACGAGCCGATGTTCACGCAGCCTCTGATGTATCGTAAGATCAAGAATACTCTGTCAGCCCTCGACAAGTATGCCAATTCGCTCCTTGAGAATAGTGTTGTCACGCCTGAAGAAGTTAAGGTGCGAAAATCACATGCAGCATATACTATTTTAGACAATTACTTTTACAATAAAAGCGACGGTCCTTTGCAGGATGTCAAAGACAAATACGAGAAGATCTGCGAGGAGGCATATACCAACGCCAGGCAGGAGACGCATATTAAGTACAAAGACTGGTTGGATTCGCCGTGGTCTGGTTTCTTCGAAGGGAAAGACCCGTTGAAGGTCTCACCCACCGGAATCAAGGAAGACACGCTCGTGCATATTGGAAAGAAATTCTCGTCGCCGCCGCCGAATGCCGCTGAGTTCGTCATTCACAAAGGTGAGCACAGCAGCGTTAGAAAACGATTACGGTAATATCTCTCTCGCTGAAAAAGATATATCAAATAAAAGGGATCAGAAGTAAAATGAAATAAAATTAAAATAAAGACGGTAATTACTTTTTACACGTTTTACAGGTATTGAGCGTATCTTGAAGTCTCGTATGGAAATGATCGAGGCTAGAACCGTCGACTGGGCTCTCGGCGAAGCTATGGCTTTCGGATCTCTTCTCAAGGAAGGTATTCACGTTCGTTTGTCAGGACAGGATGTGGAGAGAGGCACCTTCTCTCACAGGCATCATGTGCTGCATCATCAAACTGTTGATAAAGCGACCTATAGACCACTCTGCTACCTGTATCCTGATCAGGCACCTTACACCGTGTGCAACAGTTCTTTGTCTGAATTCGGCGTTCTCGGTAAGATTGCAGTTTCTATAACTTTCTGATACAATCATCGATACGTTCCCAAATGTATTGACAGTACTAAAAATCTATAGTGTTCGTAATGTAAACTGCAGATTTTTAGTACACTTTAAAACGCATGTGTGTTAAGTGTTCTATAATTTTTGCTGGAGTCCTGTTATTTTAATGATTTTATCATAATTGTAGGATTCGAGCTGGGCTATTCTATGACGAATCCTAACGCGTTGGTATGCTGGGAAGCTCAATTTGGAGACTTTAACAATACGGCGCAATGTATAATCGATCAGTTCATCAGCAGCGGTCAAGCCAAGTGGGTTAGGCAATCCGGTCTCGTCATGCTGCAACCACACGGTCTCGAAGGAATGGTAAATTCACAAATTCAAACTTAAACTTTAATTATTATTCGATATAATTACTTCTTCAAATATGAAACATGAATTTCCGAAACGTGTTATCATTTTACGTTAGACTTTTACAATCTTTAACACTCCAATTAATCTCATATAATAAAACCGCATCCATTGGACGAACCCGACAAGTTATCTTTACATATTATTCCACAATATATTAAATTCGTCTTTTTTATTTGTAGGGTCCCGAGCACTCTAGTGCTCGTCTGGAGCGTTTCCTTCAGATGTCCGCCGATGATCCGGATTACTTCCCGCCGGAGAGCGAGGAGTTCGCGGTCCGGCAGCTGCACGACAGCAACTGGATTGTCGCCAACTGCAGCACGCCGGCCAACTACTTCCACATCCTGCGACGGCAAATCGCGCTGCCGTTCAGGAAACCGTTGATCCTGATGACACCGAAGTCGTTGCTCCGCCACCCAGAGGCTAAGTCTAACTTCGACTTGATGCTGGAGGACACACAGTTCCTCAGAGTGATACCCGAGGAAGGCCCGGCGGCGCAGAATCCCAACGGCGTCAAACGATTACTGTTTTGTTCCGGAAAAGTCTATTATGACTTGAAGAAAGCGCGCACGGAACGAAACACGGATGATAAAATCGCGATCGCAAGAGTGGAACAGGTCAGTCATTATTTTTGAGACAAGTTAATCACATCATATTTGATTAAATTTCTTTAAATTATATAATTATTAAAATAATAAATTTTGTTGTAAAATGAAATTCATTTATATTTCACTGTTTTAATCGATTTGTTTGGTTCTAGATCTCGCCTTTCCCGTACGATCTCGTCAAGAATGAAGCTGCTAAGTATCCCAATGCGGAATTGATATGGTCTCAGGAGGAGCCCAAGAACCAAGGCGCATGGACCTACGTGCAGCCTAGGTTCCACACGGCGCTCAATGGCACCCGAAACGTAGTGTAAGTATAAAACAAACTAAAATAAGATTAAAATGTATGTATGTATGTGTGTGTATGAATGCACCCGTGCTACACTATTTTGCGTTTTATTTCTTATACCTCCAGCTGTTCACACGGCCCACTTTTTTTATTTTGTCGCGACGATGAACGCGACGCGTCAGAATTTGCAATTTATATTCGAATCAATATTTTCTTTTAACTTTCTAAGTTATTCCGAGTTCATAAGTTATATAGGATTGCTTTCTTTTCGTTCTATATGTTTCGTGAAAATAAAATAGAAATGAAATAAAAAAATTTGGGCCGTGTGTTGCAGTGGCGCGTCAGACACAAGTGGTCAAGGGTGGTTTGCCGGTTTGTTTTCGTCGTCTAAACCGACTAAAACCACAACTGTACCAGAGCCGCAATCAACAGAATCAACAGAACCTACTGAACCAAAGCAAAGAACAGTGAGGTAATATTGGCAAGATGGTCAATAGATAATTATTTAATGGAAAATTATTGTAAATCAATTTCCATTTAGGTACAAGCCGTTTATTGGAAGCATCACGAATGAATCACTGAACTATTATTCTTTTTTATGATTAGGTTATAAATTTATTTAATATATATTTAAAATATTGTAACTATACGTTAAAAATGAGTGCAATTAATTGCGCTAATTATATGAACTTACTATTGTTCTTAAACTTACGTTTGCACTTCGAGTCTGTTAAATAGTTTGGAAAATGGCTCTTGCATCAGTAAGACTCGATTGGTATTATCGTAGGGTGTATGTCGTAAATGTGTCAGACTTTAAAAGCAGATTGCATATTTCGAAAAATCCATTCTGATGTTTTAGGTACGCTGGACGTCCCACTGCATCGTCACCCGCCACTGGCAGCAAAATGCAACACCTCAAGGAACTCAAACAACTGCTCGACGACTCCCTTAACTGTTAATGATCCTTATAGCACTACATGTAGTACTGAAAGTTAATTTATTTTTCTTATATCTTAATGTATCCACTACAATTTTGTGTCTTGCTCGACATACACCACAGAACAGATATTACACCGTAGCTGTTTACGATTTCTTCGCAACGACGACTCCTACGTTTAAGTTCGTATGCGCGCACGAATGTTTCACGCTGGCCACTTGAAATGTAGTATTTTTTTCTCCCCAGTGATGCATGTGTTACACATGTACACGATTTCACAGACTGAACTGTGATAGCTTTCAATTAATATTAATTTAATTGAATATCGATTAATTTATGATCTTTTAGCTATACTTACGCTACTGTGCAGCAAGTTATTCATCTACTTGTGTATTTCATTCTTTTATCTACGTATGAATTTTATGCATTTTTCTCTTTAACAAACGACACGGTTTCGCATGTAGGTTTGAATGATATGCATGATATACGCGATTCAATGATGATTTAGATACATGTTAGTTCTACAAGTATATATATTTAAACGAATATAAAAGAAACTTGCTAGTCCATTGATCTACATGAAACATTCGTGCGTCCGTTGTCCTCTGTACTTCAATCCGTTCGTACTTTATTCTAAATTAATTTTGCGAGGTCGGTAAGCTTACAAAAAAAGGGAAAGTATTATTAATTTATGCAATGTTACGCAGTGCGTACATTTTAACGTGTAGCAACAGTCCTGTAGTACACTCCGGGCCGAAGAAACTGTCCATGGTAAAAGGTTACTGAGTACATGGCAAGTTTTTTTTCTAGTAATTTATTTATACGCCATAAGACGGTTGCCAATCACTTTAACTTTTTATCGTTGCTGTATTTTATAAAAAATTAAATGATTGGCGGATTACGCAGCGCGTTCTCGACGCGAAAGTAGTGTGACGTAGCACTAAATCCTTCGAGTTTAGTCTCGCCTCGGCCTCGGTTGTGCTGACACGACGTTAAAAGTGCCAGTAAATAAAAGTGCGTCAAACTCCAATCTTCGATTTGAGTTTGAACTTGAATTCGCGTGTCACGACCGAGGTTCTTAGTGCTACTCCATGGACGGTGTCGACGGATGCAGCTCATTATCAGTAAAGAGTGTTGCGAGTAGAAGATAAATTCGTAATACTTAATAGCGTTTAATCTAATTAATTTTAATAATAATAATTTAGCCGGGAAAGAGCCGCGTGGCTCACGTGGGTCGCGCGCGTAGTGTAGCAAAGGTGCGTAGTATTTAATATTCTTCTATCTGTACCGTTTGAAAGATGGGACGCACGAACGAAGAAATTTTTGAGAAGCTACACCATCCTTGCGCTGATCGGAAAAGAGCGTTGTACGTAAATATTCGTTTTGTATTGTCAGAAAGCGGGTCGGCGTCATCGCCGAGAGCAGTGTCGTTATTTCGCTCGATGCGATACGAAACGATAGTTGTGTGATATCTCTATCGATAGCACGATATTATTGTTAGAGCCAGTTTCACAAACGTTGGTTAACTGTTAACTAGAGTTCAGTCAACTCCCTATCTTTTTCTATCTTATTATATAAAAAGAGACAGAGAATCAATTAACCTTCGGTTAGCAGTTAACCGACGTTTGTAAAACTCGCCCTTAGACAGTTCGACAAAAGCCACCAGTACCTACCTTGTTCCTATCCGTTGTATCGTGCGCGTATTTATAATACAATGATACCGGCGCACGTGTGTGCTTAAAAAGAAAATTTTCTGTCAAACAAAATAGTGCTTAAAAAGTTTCATTTAGCAAACACCGCTGATATTACGCCCGATATTGTAGTATCTTATTGCTGAATTAAATTGTCTCATCGTCTCACGTGTACGATTAATGTTGTCCCCTGCGTATTACTTCGCGTAATAGTTTGTTAAAGTACAGTCGGAAGAAAATGTAACTGTCTACGAATTTTGGAATTTTTTGTTTATAACTTGCGATACGTTAATGCCAGGACCGGGTCTACGATTTTGTGACTCTTATGCCATGATTTTTCAGAGGTCCCCCTATGTTTCCCTAATCAGTAAGCTTGGATAATCATAAATAATTTTTATTACTTTAATACCAATTTTATTAACAAAAAAAATACATTTCTTATATCTTTTCTATACTGAATCGAGGAAGTCCCTGATAATGTAAAGCCAGCTGTGCGGCTTATTTAGCTTATGTGTAGACCCGGCACTGGTCAACGCTCAACTAAGGCCCAGTTTTTCATTTGCTGATTAATTGTCAACCAGAAGTTAGTCGACTCTCCGTCTCTTCTCACAATGGAGAGTCGACTAACTTCCGGTTAACAGTTTACCAGAAAATGAAAAACCGGGCCTAAGGGAGAGAAGGTTGATCCCACAAAAATTAAGCGAAAAATCTACGAGAGGGGAGGGAGGATAAAAAGAACTCAACGTATTTTGTGAAAATTAATTTTTTTCATCGTGCGCAATGTCAAAAGTATAGTATAGTGTGTAAATAGATCGTCAAAAAATAGATACATCGAGATGCGGAGATAAGGGCGGGGAAAGTAAGCTATCTTGGTGCAGGCCAGCGAAGAAGTATTAATTAATCTCGAGTAGAATGCGCAATGTTTGCAAGCCACGTACTAACGGCGCGTACGAAAGTAACTAATTATTATTACTACCGCTTAATTAAGAGATACACGGGCACTGCGTTTTCATCGGGCAAGCAATGAGTGTCGAGTAACGGTTCGTCAATTCGACGAGCGCGCTTTTTTTTCTTCTCCTCGGAGGAACGTAATTCGAACGCCTGAGCCTCAACGCGCTCGACATTCGTTTCTTTTTTATTTCGCGTAGTACATACAATAAATAAAATATAGAGATTTATTTAACATAAGTAAACGATATATATTTATAGCGTCAGTTCGGCTTAATAGTCGGTCTGCCCCAGCACACTGTACATGATCCTCTTGAAGCTGTTGCTCTGATGGATCCTCTCGCCGTCGTCGTCGAGCACGGTCATCTGAAAAAACGGGATCACTCGCAAGCCGCTCTCTACTTGTTCGCAAAAGCTCTCCACAAACGAGGTACGCTTTAACTCGGACAAGGCATAAATCTCTATCTCGCCAAGCGGCATGCGTGTATTCGCAGCGTTACGTGAGAAAAACCAGCCGGTAGTAGAGCGCGGTAAGAGAGAAAGAGAGCGTGCATCGGCCCTACGAATTAATTTTCTCTACGCGGAAGCAGGCGCGGGGGCAGTTTTGCGCAAAAGTATCAGAAATCGCTGCACGTACAAGTTCCGGCGAAAATTTTAATAGTCGTTGATAAGATCCTTAACGAAAGGGATGGGGAAGGGACGCCTATATGATCCACCCTTAATGAAACAGATGCCGCAGATTAGATCGATGCCTTTGACCGGAGAAATGATTGATATCGAATCAACATCGAATTTAACAGCGTCGACTCGACATCGTTTCGACGAAATCGTTTCTCGCTGGCGGGTTGTTAGCCGTTAGTGGCGATGATACATGTTAGATAATATATTAATATAAGGTAATCTCGTTAAACGCGAAGTCTCTCTTTTTTTTAATTTCAGGGAGAGGCGTTGAATCCTCCGCGCGATATTCCGACGGTGAGACGCGGCGGCCGATTATTAGCCGAGAGACGCCTTGGCACGCAGCTACGGTAGACGAAAAAGAAAGAAGTACGAGAGAAGAGTAGCGCCTCGTGCCAAGTCGCTTATATAATCCGGTGCCGTTTTACCGCCCGGTTACTGCGTTGGGTAACTTATAGAGTTACGCGGCGCCGGGCCAGTGATCGATAAATCTTCCCGGTAAATAAGTGGCGAACAATAAGTGACGCGGTAATAATAAACGTGAGCGACCAGAAGATCGACCTGTCGAGCCGCTTCAGCGGCGGGGCGACTCTTTTCAAAAATTCCTTTTCTCGTTCGTTTCTTGAAATCGTTGAAACCTTTTTCTTTTTTTCAACGCTTTCCCGTGGTTCCGCGGAGACGTGCGACGCGACGCAGCCGAACGACTTCGCGCAGGACGCGAGGAGCCTCGAGTTCGCGCCGAGAATGTAGCATCCAAATAGAACGGGTGATCGTTGCGAGCTCAAAAAGGATTCACTCTTTTAAATTCTTCATGAATTAGTGTAATCCATTCAAAGGAATTCCTTTCCGGTGCGTTTTTTTATAGAGTGTAAAAGCAGAGTGTTAAAAGACAATTGTTTTTACATGCGAAAAAGGACTCTGAATTGGTGACGCAAGAGCGAATTCCTTTTGAACTCTTAAGAGTGTTTTCACACTGACAAAAAAGTTGTTGATATTACTGAATATGTTTAGTTAATTCGAAATGTAGATATTTTTTAATTAATGTATTTTTGTGAATTAACAAAGTTTTGCTTGGCAGCCACTGACCGCGGCATTTAATTGAATCGAGAAACATTATTTTAATTCAACACCTTTTTCCTCAGTGTGGAAAAGGAGAAAGAATTCCTTTTGGATTATCCGTGCTATCTGGGCCAGTCAACGCAACCGTGGGCTGCGACAGAATGCATGCGGCGACATGCGAGAGCGAGAGATGCAAGAGACGCGTGGTCTCAGCCCGGCGAAGTCGATTCGCAAATTTGACCGAGAGAAATGCGGATACTTACGTATGCCGGACTCTTCGGCGGAGCCTGGTACACCTGTGCAACAAACGGTCGTGTCGTTGAATGCGGTCTCTTATTGCTTAGATTTAACTGTTTATTTCTTTGTCAACAGATAAGAATCAAACCGAGGCGGCAGATAACAAGATGGAGCGTGGAATGGAAGATATAATTACCCTGTTCGATTTCTGCGGCGTAAAGACACCGGTGCGAGCCGGCTGCCTGACCTCCTGCACGTAATCCCCGTATTCCTCCTCCTGCAGGGCCTTGTACGCCTCGCTCTTGCTGGGATCGTACTTCACCGGTTTCTTCAGTCTGCACGTACCGCATGTGTACAGGGGACGACTTTTAATTTCGCTTTCGTTCTTTCTCCCTCACGTGCGACTTTTATCTTTCTCTTTTCTTTTTCTTATTTTTTTTTATTTGTGTTTTCTATCCGGATCGGTTAGCAGCGGCCGGGGGTTACAATTTGCCAATTTGCGCTTGCACATTTACTTATGTTTACTTTAATCTGTTCGAGAGCGACTTTCAGACGCGTCCTCCAGCCGAGTTCAATCGAGAAAGAGCGGTCATTCCTCATCGTGCAAACCCTGCGTGCATGCCCGATCAAGAAGAACGCGTTCGTCGGACACTTCGGAAATTGCGCCTTTCATCTTTGGGAAAGAGGAATATTCACAAAAGGTAGACTCGGAAAAAACGTATTTCGAATCATGAGTTCCGCTCGCAGTTTTTTAATACACTCTCCCTGGTTTTTAATTTATAACAAGAACTAATTTCTTTCTCATCGTTTTTTCAAATTTTGTCTTAAGTGACGATCTTCTCGTCGGTATAAAAAAAGATGCTAAATAAATTATATGTTCTAATTGTGTAACAAAAAAGGAAGAGAGGGAAAATATACCTTTAATACATTTTTACTTAGACTCTTATCAATTAATGTTCTCGCAGGTATCATTTTCAGATTATTTTTATTCCCATTATTAAATACTCAGCGGCGCCCGTCGTGCCGAAAGATGTGGCGAAAATAGATTTCCAACGGCGCAATTTTCGAAAGTCGTCTCGAATTATTCGTGCACGGTATCTACGATATACAAGCATACGAACACTCATTAAAGAAACGACGAAGTTAGTAGATATTCTCAACTACTGTATTCATTATTGATTATTCACTACTCTGTTACATGCAACAATTTTACTGCTGAAGGAAAAGCCTTTTTTTGCACGGGCTCGCATTATTTCGCAATTTCGTCAAATAATTCGTGTCTACGATCTCTACTATGTAACGCGAACGGCAAACTAACCCGAAATACGTATAATAATCGCACAATCATTTCGAGGAATTCGTATAATCAAAGAGTGGCCACGTTCGCTGTGTTAAACTCCATCGGCAATTAAACTAACTTTAAATTGATTGCATTGCCCACGTTGAATCGCGTTCAATTAAAACATTGATAGCAATCGAAGAAATTTTTGACGCTTGAAAAAAAAATTTAATTATAGCATTTTAACGACAGCGTGGCGAATTGTCGAACTGTACCATAAATTTAATCAATACCCAAAATACTTCTGTAAACTTGTGATAATTATTTCTCTATAATTTTTCGACAATCTGAATCGTCAAATTTGTTGTTAAATTTAACAATCTTTCTCATTAAATTGTATAACAAATTCAATTAATAATCCATCTAACAATCGAATGCAATAATTTGCTGTACTTTAACAAGAGAACGTGCCCAACGGTCCACGTGATAACCGGGAAACTCTGCCGTCGTAGATCCGACGTGCGAGAAGCATCGGAAAACGTCTCGAACGTCTGTCGACAAGTTTTGTTTAATTTGGTCTATTGAATTGCGGCCACACGTTCTTCGAGGAGGCGGCCTTGGCCTGCTCTTTCAAGATTCTCGCTTGCTCCTGTATTTCCTGTTTCTGTTTCAGGAAGGAAAAGTCTATGAAAATGCTGGAAAACAAACAAACCGCTACGTAAGTAATCAATCATCAGGAAAATTCGAGAGAGCCGTATAGGAAAAAAAGAGAGAGGGAGCCGATGTCCCCTCTCATTTAATGATCGACCATCGACGATCGTGTGCCCTCGATCGAGCAAAATGAACTCGATTTATTTCTCCAATTGATAATTTCTTTTCCCGAATTACCGTCTTCGTGGAACTACCGTCGTCTTCCGAAAAGGATAATTTCTTTCTCGTTCGCGCTCCGTTACGTTCTAAAAAAAAGATCTCGGAAGATTATTTTTGTGAGAATCACACTTCTCGTGGATATTTGATTAAGAGACACGCCTATAAGAAGTGCAACGAAACAAGTGTGGATTAATAAGAGATTAATGAAAATTCATTGTATCTCCCAGAGTATAGAAAGTCGTGTCGATTTTTTTTGAATTCACTCTTTTTCCATTGTGATTGTCAACCGTGCGAATTAAACAGCCTGTTAACTTCGATTAACGTGAGAAATTAGACTTTTCTGCACGAGCGATTTTTTTATTACGTGACAGCGGTTTGTGAGAGTTGTGAGCGGCATTCAGCGGCGAAGCCAATTTTGTATTAATTATATTAACCTGTGACTGCTGCAAGCATCACGGCATATTAGCGATTCGTTATATATAATGTGCTCAATTCGGTTTGAGTGTGGTTAAAGGCTAGTTAAAAAGAGACTTTAGTGGACAATCGTGTGAGTAGTGATCGTCTACTTACGGTACGGCGGACGCTTGGCACTTGATCGTGTCTGCGATGTTCTGATCCGAGTAGAGTCCGATCGGCGAGTTGAATTGCTTGTGGACAATCTAGAAAAACGAAGTTCTACGTTTACAATCGGCGCAGCAGGCCGCATCTGCGATATCGCACGAAACTCGAAGCTCCCGTGGCTTTGGAAATAAAACGACCAAGTACGATCGTTCTGCAAGCAGAAGCGCAAAAGAGAGATTATTCTGGGACTTCGTTTCTCTCGTTTTAACACTTTTATTTAACAGACGCAACGAAAGTGGAGCTGGATGTACCAGCACGTGAATATTTTGATACTTGAATAAGCAATTTAAGCGGAGTCTCCGTATTAATAACGCAGTATTAATGTGAACGTTCACCAAAGATGTTGCGTATTATTGTTGCAGTCTGTCCTCAAGTCGTGTCACTCGCGACTACGGTATTACGTTATAACAATATAGCATTGTAAAAAATAAACATAGCTCTAGTGCGCTGGCACCGCGGACGGGACAAACATTTGACTAATGCCAAGTTTCCGTTGTGTCGGAAATTTACGGCATTAACGCGCAACGGACTTGACTCACGATGCTTATTCTACAAAGCACCGCCGTCACAAAATAGCAGTCGTAATGTTACTTCATATTCGTCGCCATTCCGCGGCTCCGTTGTCGTTTACCTTCTCTCTGAAAGTCAATCAGTGGATTGTCACTGTTTTCAGTGATAGTTCACCGATTGATTTTTAGAGAGTTCAGAATTTTGGAAACGCGTCAGAGTGGCAATCAATAATGAAAGCAACACGTTTGCCGGTGAATAAACGTCGGAGAGTCGCTTTGGTGTAGTCGAGTTAACATTTATATCACGTCGTGTAAATTTAATTAGATTCAATTAAGATAATTCGCTGACAAAACTGAGTTAACTCGAGAGCGATTTAGTCATAAAAATGGGAGCTGCATCGATTCACAACGTAATCGATGCGTCGCTATCATTTCGGATTATCGAGTTACAGACGAGTCCAGGACATCCTGTAATAATCGCGTTAACAGCGTGATTATTATAATTCATCGTTGTTATTAGTCATTAGCGAGAAAACTCGTAAAACAACGGGGACATCTGGCCAAAATGAAACTCAAGTTCCTTGCGGACATATCGATCATCCAGAAAGCGTAAGCGTCGTTTCTCGTAGCGGCTTACGAGGAATAAAACAACGGAAGTGATCCAAACCTTTGGAACTTCATTCGGTCCCACGACACGCTGAAGTACCGTTTCCGCCACCTGCTCAGACGACGTGCAAATGAGATACAATTGAAACGCTAGTCTGACAAACGCGCGTCTCCAAGAAAGTGCGAAGACCCCCGTTCGCGCGAGTACGACGCCGCGGTCGGCTGGTGGTAGGTTTTACCTTTTGCTTCATAGCGACTTCAGGGTGAGCCGGCTCGTAATGATGGGGCGCCGCCCTGATCATCGGATTCGGATGGTGCCGCAGGTAGCATTCACCGAGAGGGGCATCCTTCTTGACCTTGGCGCCTGGCAAGACCAGAGGAGTCGTGCGGTAGGGCTAAAAGACACACGGTCACAATTACAATAGCTCTGACACTTTTTTCTTATTTCGCTGTATTATATTTTATACATATTCTTGGTGTATGACGTTTTATCTTACTCATCTTATTGTATGATACAAACGATTGGATTTTCGTATCTCGCTATCGTGTAAAGTGTCGTTGACGCTAATATGACAGTAACTATGCGAGTAATGGCAGTTAATGGGGCAGATGAAACGATATCCTGTCGAAGCGGTGCCAATTAACTAACGAGATCTAAAATAGACCGCAATGGAGGCCATGGCGATCGAAAGGTGGCTTGTTAATCCCTGACGCTTCTTACGCCGTCATAATTCCGAGCAACGACAAGAATAAATCGACGACGATGATGAGATTGCAGCCTAATTTGACAACGATCTCATTTCGTAACATTAAAGAGGTGCAGCGCGGGTCGAAAAAGTACCGAGTGAGAACGCACCAGCTTGTCGCGATTTGATAACTCTTTAAAATATAGGCATCTAAGAGTTCTTTAAATAATGAAAGATCAAATAGTCATGTAAGGTCTTTTCTCTTGCGAATTTTTTTCCAAAATTTGTCTGTTTTAAACTAAGCGTTTTTCTCCTCCGACGATAATGCTCTATTACTCCGTTTTCGAGACGTAGATAATTTTTAAATAGCGCGAGCACCAGATCTACGTTTCTGATGCTCGGAACTGGTAGTGAAGTCGTTTCGAACGAGCGTCACGAGAAGCAAAAATTCCACCGAGTTAGCGCATAATGAGAAAATTACATAAAATCGGCGACCATCCTCGTGACATTGCGAACGAGCCCGGCTTGCCAAGTTACGGGTCGTTCCGTCACGTGCCGTCGCTTTTGCGCGACATTACGAAATTACGCGAATCTGCAGGCGCATCATACATCGTCGATTCGCCACGCGGATCTTCTATGTTTACAGTCCGAGTTGCCGAAACATCCGTGAAAACAAACCGCTCAGGCGAGTTCCCCGTAATATTACGTCGTCGCGTATATTCTCGCGAAGTCTCGAGTCTGGAGCGAAAATATTAGAAGCGCCAGGCATAATTGTCGCGACCTTTGGAGAGCCGTAAATAAAGCTCGCCGTGATACGTTCTCGCGGTCTCTCATTTCACTTCCTACATGCAGAAGTTCCGTCGGGATATAATCGTTCTTGAAGGGCAGCTTGAGATTTACGAAGCGTTTCTATTTGCCTTGAAATTATTGTCTCGAACTTACAGAGCACAGTGGGGAAATCGGACATCAAGCTGCCGCTACAAATGCTTCGAAGTGTTTCTTTTCTCTTTCTATCTTTACTGAAAAAAAAAGGAGAAGGAGAGTACTTGGAAACATTTGAAGCGACAACTTGACCGCAGCCTTAATTTAACAATTTTCCTCACTTCTCTACTTTTCCTCCGCACTTTTTAGACCAATCTTTTTTTCAAAGATATAAAAATAGAATAAGAAAGAATAAGAAACCAAATACAAGAGCCGTCGTTTCACCAAACGTCGTTTAACTTCAACCTTAGTTCAATTCATGTTAGCCTCTTTCTAAAGTAACAGTTGGGAGGAGACAAAGATCGAATTAAACTAAGCTTAAAGTTAAACAGCGTTGGTGAAACTGGACCTCAGAGCCGTCGTTTCACCAAACGTCGTTCAACTACAACCTTAGTTTAATTCATGTTTGTCTCTTTCTAAAGTAACAGTTGGAAAGAGACAAAGAACGAGTTAAGCTAAGCTTAAAGTTAAACAACGTTGGCGAAACCGGACCTAAATGATAAATGCATTCAAATATAAAAACGCAAAATGTCCCTCGTACGCTCCGTTCCGCCTATCAAGGGGGTGAGGAATTGTGTGCACCCATTGTTCACTGGCATCAGCCGCAACGCTGCAACGTTCCACAATTTTAGAATCGCGGTCGCGGTCGCGGCAAGTTCGCGCGCGAGCCTCACGACTCTCGCCCGCGACGTGAAATCATCGTGCGATTACGATGATGCCATTATAAATGGGTCAGAAACGTCCCATTATGTTAGAGGGTGAGCCGCGAGTGACTCTCTCGAAATAGAACGAAGGCTCCCAGCCGGCAAAAATAACGCGCGCCCCGAGCCACAAAAACCGCCTGTCCCCCACGCGCCTCGCGTTCGCGCTTCTTTTCGCCCGTGACTTTTTCACCAGGAAGCGTCCCGCCCGTTCGTTCGTGGACGGGAAGCGTCTCCCGTTGGAACGCTAACGAGATCGCGCGATGACCGAGAAAGGAATAGGTCGGGTGCAGGACCGTCCGCAAGCCCAAAGGGCGTCCCACTTCCGTTCGGCCTCGATGACAAGCGTCTTTGACGTTGAACTTTGAAACGGCTTGTAGAAATATTTAGGATAAATTTCGATAAAAATTTTCTGTGTTAGAAAAACACGTTGCCAGTTATGGTCGATTGAAAGCTTAATTATTGTAGATCTTGACGACTCCGATTCTATCCACTGACGTTGTAGAACAATTTTTCCATGCTTTTCTAAACGTAAAAAAAAACTCGAAATCGTCAATCAATTAAATGCGAGAAAAATTGTACTACTTAATTCTCTAAATTTAATTTCTTTAAAAGAATTAAACGACACAGTTCTTTTATTTGTACGCTTAATATTTGGAGGAAAAGGAGACTAGTTGTTGCCTTTCAAAAGTGCTGGAACAATGATTATTTAAAAATCGAGCTCAGTTGAGCGATTCAATTAATCTCGCCGCTCTCACAATAAAATTTTCGTTCCCGTGGATCTACGATCTTTTTCTTTTTTTAGAGAATTTGCGCGAGCATGCGCACGCTCGTGCGTCGTTTTGTAAAAGGTCTCACGAACTAAATTCAGACGGAGCGAACAGCTGTTTCGCAGAGTGTTTATTGCTTGGCGTCGAGGTGAAACTTGAACTCTTTGGAAACTGATTGGCGCACGTTGGCAAGAGGCACGCTAACGAACAGATGTTTCATTAACGCACGCTGAAAGATAGAAAATTATAATTAAGATAGTAATCCAATTAATTTCGTAAGGAGTAATTTCCGATTTGCTCCATTTCCGATGCAAACATTCTATTGACGTCAAAATCATTTGTATTTACATCGCTTTCTGATTTAAAAAAAATTGGTTGCCAAACTAAGAATAAACAGATTAATAGAGTAATTAGTACACGGGAAGAATTCTTCAAATTTATCCTGAAAATCATGTGATCGTGGGACAACGTGACATTTTGAAGAACTTTATGAGTTTTTTTGAAATTTTACCATACATTTTACTTGTCAGTATACATGTTACTAGTAGAATGTATGGTAAAATTTCACAAAACTCTCATAAAGTTCTTCATTACATGATTTTCAGGGTAAACTTTAAAAGAAAATTCTCTCACATGTACGTACTCAATAATCAGGGTTGGGAAAGTTACTTTATAAAAGTATCTAGTTATAGTTTTTTCTGTCTAAAAATGTAACTAGTTACAGTTACAGTTACTCAAAAAGTAACGAGCTGCTACTTTGCAGTTACTTTCTTGCAATGATAATAAAAATATCAAATTTGCATTTGAATTGTCAAGCGTCGATAAAGGCGTTTATGCACAAATGCAGGACCAAATGCGGTCTGTGAAGGTTTAAAAAATATATAAAGTAACTATTAATGTAACTATTATTAAATTAGTTTCTGGGCATCGAAAAAATGTAACTGAGTTAAGGTACAGCTACGGAGAGAAAGTATAACGAGTTACCTCCCAACCCTGACTCGATCTACAGAGATATTAATTCTAGGTTCACATATTTTCCAATTCGCCCGAAGTCTTTTTAAACGATTCATTGAAACTGCACAATCTAACAAGAGAAAACTAACAGACGTTAGAAATGGATCGTCCTATCACGGTACAGGGTGTTTCACGTAAGTTATCGCTTCTTACACGCGTGTCCGAAAATAATCATGCGTTCCCATCCGAATGTTGATCAGGAAAAAAAATGTAAACTAAATCATTGCGCTAATTCCGGCGCGCGGCGATCAACTGTCGATTAAAATCGTCGCTCTTGGGGAAAAAAAATGGCGAAATCTCTCGAAGATGGGGTCGGCGGAGCCGTGGGTGTGCCTTTGTATGACGGCTTCTCTCGCGTGTTCGTGAGTAACCCAGATCCCGTTGACGAAAATAGAACGCGATACCGATGAACGGCATCCGTAATGGCGATGCCTACGTGCGTTTTATTGCATAGCGCGTTTATTAAAGCACGTTACGTTTCACGCCCGAACCGCCTTTCATCTCGGCGGCTCCGATAGACCGCGGACACCACCGTGCCCTCTTCGGGGGTCCTCGTCGGCGCGGCGGGACAGGCAGAACCGATCAAATTCCTCTCCGGAATGACAGAATCGCGCGTTATTTACATTTGAGCACCGTGTCAAGGTTGAGCCAGGCGAAATCTAGATCGCCCGGCGATCCTGTCGCTCGTGTCGTTATTCGGTATCGATACGACGCGTCGGTGGAGCTAAACTTGTGTTATTTGATATTTTTAGAGTGATTTGTTAAGCTTGAGCTTTATGGTTGTTATGCTGTCGGGGGCAAACCCACGCGCAAATGCCATCCAGATGAAAAAGAATGAACTGCGTAAAACGGGGTCTTTCTAAACGGGTAACTCAGCGTGCGAAAGAGAAGACATTTAGAAAGCTGCCTAATGTCGAGGACAACATAATTATTAAATAATAAATTTACTTTGTAAAAGTACATTTTCTAGTTTATACTTTTTTCGTGTCAAATAATCAATTAAACAACTCAATAGAACGATCTCCCGGTAAATGTGAATTGGGTATAGAGCTTCATCTGCGATGCAAATCATTATTTAATTGATTAGACACTTGGAGCGATTGAACGTTAATTAAAAGCAATTCTGAGAGGGGTCTCCATTAAGAGAGAAAAGCCCTGCAAACTGCAGATTGCACTGCACACGATCGGGGAAATATCCCAGAAAAATCCCCGGGAAAATTTCTGGGAAAGTAAGAACGAAAATAATACAGCGGAAATTGTATGTTAACGTTATTGAAATTTCGTAAACTTCTTTTTCGGGCGTCACCGGGCGATAACTTCTACAATGTAGCCCGCCACTCGCGCGCGAGATCCGCATTTTGTTCGCGAGGAAGACGCGCGTTCAAGGGCGAGAAACTCGCGTCGGCGCTTCTCGCCCTTGCCGGGGGGTTCCTCCACCTTTAACGAGCCTAAACGAGACCGACGGAAACGAACTTGTCTACTTTCGTACCCAGTAAACGGCCGCCTCCTCCTCCTTCGGGTGATGCTCGATGTTGTAGCGATAGACGGTCGTGTAAGCGGGCATCTTCTCGTCCCCGTCCGTCGAGAGACGTCCCGCGGAGAGAGAGTGAGAGAGAGGCTTCCCTCGCGACCTCCGACCTACGTCACCCCTTTCTCGCGGAGGCAACCCTTTCGCGGATTCTCGTAATCGTCCTCGCGCGTCGTCCCTCGCTCGCGACTCTCGCGGGATTATTCGCGCTTAAGCACTACTGGCTCGGCGCGAGCGCGGGCGGCACTAACTCTGGCCTTTTCCACGCGGCTTCTCTCTCTCTCTCTCTCTCTCTCTCTCTCTCTCTTTTTCTCTCTCAGGAGACCACTTTCGAAATTCGCTCGCTCTCGCCCCCACGTAGAAGCTCTTGACACCGGAAAAGCGTCACGAGTCGAATGCTCCACGTCAATCTCAGACGCGGCGACCGCAATCGGATTATCGTTCGACTGAGAAATCGGAAAGATACGTTCATAAATAATAACGACTTTTACATCGAAGGCACATTTTTGTTGATTATTCTTCAATGAGCTTCATTCAATTGATAATGTTCGAGAAAGTTTCATTAATTTTCTCCTATATGTATGTCAATGTCAATAGAAATATCCTATTTAAATCATTTGCAATTAATGTTTTTGTTCGTGCTCTTCTAAAATTTCCTACAAATTGATTATTGCTTCAGAATAATCGGGGAAGGCGTTTTCTTTGGCAGCAGAATTTCGCGATAAAATAATAAGGGAATTATTCGAGAATATAAATTTTGATTGCCAAAACATATCGATAAATCTTCCCCTATCTATATACGTTAAACACTTTACAACGTATTTTAAGTACCGCATATTCTTTTTTGCAATCAAAGATGTCCAATGTCATTAGCGATAATTTTCATAAAAATATGTTTTAATTTCTTGGATTTAAATATCCATAAAAGACTAATCTTGATTTACGCTATTTTAGAAAAATAATGTTCTAGTTGCTTTCAATTAAAAAAATGTTTGGCACATTAAAGAGAAATTTCTTTATATCGCTATATCACTCGTGGCCACAAAGAAAACATAAATCTGCAAATTATTTTTTCACGATCGAATATGATCGCCATCGATATTTTTCAAAAATTTCAATTTTATTTTATAAGAATATCTCACAAAATAATTTAAGCTTTTTTAAATGCGGTCCTAGCTCGCGCCATTTGAAAAGGAAAAATTCGAGGGAGTTATTTGCAATTTAAATATCTTCTACCCAGTGAGAAATGATTCGTCGGGACGATGTCGAATCGACATCAACACCGTCAAATTGACGTCGATTCGGCATCAATTTGAAAGTGTCGATGCCGATTTGGCATCGTTTCGACATCAATCGACGAGTCATTTCCCGCTGGGTAATAGTTGGGGAGAGATTTTTAAAGAAAATCTACTTTTCGTATAAAGCGCTTTATCTCTCGGCCGCAAAAAAATGAAGTCCGCCCGCAGGGAATATAGCACACTGACAAATAAATTTTTTAAACTAAATAAATAGATTTACTTAAAATGATTCTCTTTACTGAAGTAAATATTTATTCTATTAAAATAAAAATATCAAATTTCAAGCAAATCTGTGTATACTGTATTATATTAAGTAAATTAATTTAAATCATTACATTTCCTACATTCAACTAAAGATTTCATGAGATAGAGAATACTATTATATTTATTAAATGAAATCATATTGTTTTCGTCAAATATAAGAAATCTAATTTTCTTCGCTGTAAAACTTATATCTTAGTAAACATTTTATAGAATTAAAGTAAAATTTTTTAAATATAAAATTATCTACTGTTTGATATTATATACTGATATTGATACGAAATTAAAGAAATGCATGTTTTAATTTGTTTATTATTTTTTAAATTTAAGTTGATAAGCTATTAGGAGCCACCTAATGAATAATTTTCTTAAGTAAAGTAATATTTTTTGGATTAAGCTATGTTTTTTATCAGTGCAGGCGAAAGCGCGAACGGCGACGTCCTGGATCCGCGGGACGTATCGGATCGGGGCAGGTAGAGGTGGTTTCGATGCAAAAGCGATATTTATAGCGTGTGGCAACCGGCTCTACTGGTGGCGGCGGGCTTTCCGGCATCGTGGCGGGCCAACAAAAATATATTCACACTTCGGACTTCCCACGTATAAAAGCACCTTCGTGCCATCGCCTCGCGCGGTGCACGGTGCACCCCGGTACCGCGATATACGCGATGTCGCCGTAATAAACGCGGTGACGCGCTTCCCTCCCCCTCCCCCTCTACCACTCCTCGTGGTCTCGTCGGTATCGTTCTCGCAAAACCGGTTAAACGCACCGTTAAACGACGGGAGACATCTGGACGCGAAATCGCAATTCGTTACCCCCCGTCGTCGTTAAAATCGCAGAACTTTGACATTCTTCCAAAAACCCGCGGGTTCCCCGCTTCTACAAGTCGGCCGAGTTAATCGCGCATTCGCGTGAACTTGAATTTAACTTTAATCGCTCCTTCACGAGACTTTTTCCCGCGGAATTTTCATACGCGCGCCGTTTACGCGACTCGATTATCGATTATCGCGATACGATGCTAACAGCGGGCCAGAGCTCGATTTTTGAATTCACTCGAGGGAGAAACGTATGCGAGGATTCTGTTGTTACGGGAAAATTGCAAGTTGATTCGCATAGCTTTCAATCGACTTGCAACTTTTCTGTAAGAATAGAATTTTCGCATACGCGTTCTCCTTCAAATGTATGCGAGAATCAAACCCCCGTATTTCGTCATTCTGAATTTCGAAACGCGGCGGAAGGGATTACACGCGACAAATGTCCTGTCACGCCGCGCCGGTAGCGTGTGATCCGGCAATGACTTATTGGATTTCAAAGTGCAGAAGGGTATTTCGGAACGAGCTCGAGCTTGCCAGACGCCACCGACCATGCGGACTTGAGAAACGGGCCGCCTCTTATTACGGCGATTCGCATGCCGACACAGCCGCGTCTATACTTATTTTACGACGTACTCTTTCATCTGTCTTTCCAAATCTCCTTCCTCAAACGGAGCCTCGCATGCGGCTCGAACGTTTAGTTCGACACACGGTTCTCTTCCTCAAGAGGCCTGCAGAGCTAAGCTCTCCTCCGTGCTTTTCAAATTATCGAGAAAACAGGCGGAAAGATATTCTGAGATGTATGAGCAATCTTGCCGATTTGTGCGATTGTCTGCGATGCTTTCCCTCAGTGAGAAATGAATCTACTTCGTTTCGACATCGATCGACGAGTCATTTATCACTGGATTGGCTACCCGCTACAAAGAAAAACTCCCCGACGATCCTTGGAAAATAAATAAAACCCAAGGGAAAATGAAAAGTCAAATTGACATCATCTTGATTTTCATGTCTCCTTGGGAAGGGACTCGTGGCGCTTAAGCGATGGGCAAGGAGCTACGACTCTCAACCCTGTACTTTGTTACTTTTAGCTTTCGGTTGCATAATTTCGCACGAGGCTGTCGGCCATCGGTCGAACCCTGGCGTCTGCCGATATCAATAATCCTACGTAACGCGCGTTTCTCTCTTTCTGCGATTACCAACTGCGATTCAAATAAGTTTTAATTTAGATGAAACTTTCTGCAAGTATTGTGTTTGAACATAGACATAGTAAATATAGACTGAGCGTCCCATTGAATAAGCTGAAGCTTGTGAAGAGAAAGACAGGGAAGATTTAAGAAGACCGTCTTTCTCTGTCTCACCATCGTGACAAGGGAGAATCACGTCTGTGTAGTACTGCGCAGGCACGATTCTTTTCTTTTACGATGGTGTAAGACAGAGCAAGAAAGTCTTCTTAAATCTTCTCTCTCTCTCTCTCTCTCTCTCTCTCTACGCAAGCTTCAGCTTATTAAATGGGACGCTCAATCTATATTTACTATGTCTATGTGTTTGAACGTCTTAAGCTACTTTTTTCTAGTACGTTTTGCACGTGTAATATTGTTGCTCTGTGTTCGACCGCGGCAAGAACGATTGGCCTGGGAGAGATTCTTCAAACGGCGCGGCTACACTGTTCTACTGTTGCGGACTATTTCAATCCGGGGAAGAAATAAATATCGATGTCGGATCTTGATTTATACGGCGAAACAAGGCCGACTGTTCCTAACCGCGGATCAATGAACTCCCCCAGCGGATTTGCATTGTCGACACGTGCCTCGGAAATTCAATTTTCAGTTTGTTTCAAAGACTAAATGCACTTCCGTTCCCGTTCCCTCGGAATTGCTCTCAAGACTCGCCATTGGTGCACCGGGTTTTCCGGCTGGATCTAAACAAATCCAGCAAAATACTTAAGCAAGGCCGACTTTATTCAGCAGACCGATTCAGCGAAGATTTATTTCTGCTTTGCTCCACGAAACGATTCTTTGTACAATCAAATTGCGGTACAATTGATCTCTCTCTCTCATTTTTCCAGCATACTTTAATTACATTCAATTATTCAGTTTGTTTTTATTTAAGTCTACTTCTTATACAGAAATAAGACGCGTAAAATACCTGCGACAGGTGAACCCTTTCCTCGCGGATCTCGTCGAGGTGTTCGTGCGGGAAAACGATCGTGCTGCGAAGACCGAATTCCGGAGTCGGCGTTGACCTGTACTCCTCGTATACGCCGACCGAGGGCGGCGGTACTGGGCTCTTCGGCAATTCTTGCGGATGCTCTTTCGGCTGTTTGTACCTGCGTGAAGGAATTGCGAGAGACATTAATAAGGTACGGCAGGTACCACGCATTCGTGTCAGCGCAACAGCGGCAAAACGCAAGCAGCTTCGTGGCGGTTTCGCGGCGATCGCCTTTAGCTGCACAGAATTAATCGTACAAGGACGAGTCTTAGTTTTAACTCAAGAGAAAAATCATTTCAGATTCTGATTCGCCCTGCTATCGGTGAAAGACGATCGCCGCGGTGCGAGAGTGAGTGGTAAAGGGTCCATTGCAGCGGCCAGAAATGTCAGTCGTGCTTTGCGCGAAGAAGATAAACCGAATCGAGGGGGTGAGAATTAATCAGCGGCGTGCGGCGATATTGCGGCAGCGACGTGGTGTCATTGTTCTCTGACGGCGTGAAAAAGGGATAACGCGAAATAGTAATAAGATAGTATTGCATTCTGACAGACTAGTGGCCGCAGCCCAGTTGCCAACGGTCGGCCTGAAAATGGTGGGTGGTGATGGTGACGCGGTGATGGTAGTGTCGGTGGTTGTACGTGATGTTCTTGCGGCGCTCGACGGCTCAGACCTTTCGACGACTAGCTTTATGGTTTCGGAGTTTTGGAGGAGATTCTGTGCGTCTACATGCCTCACGTCGCGCGCGTCGTAATCGTCGATCTTCTTGATCATGTCACCCCTCTGGAGCGCCTCGTTCTCCGACTGCAAACAGAGCGCCGACCCGGCGCCGTTAGCGATAACTGTTGTCGTACTACCTTTGCAAAATTATCGATTGTTCTCGCAGGGAACAATCTCTAAAATCGCGCGAAAGTATGCCTCTCGAAGCTTTACGTGTTTCTTCTGAAAGTACAAGATATTCTTTAAACAGCTTTTAAAAGTTGTTACTGAATTAAATGTAATTCATTATTGTAGCGAATTAAATATAATTTTATTGTACTTTCAACCTTTACAGTTTGACGACGGACGTGTTCGAAGACTTACAAAAATTAGTACGTATCAGAAGAAACGTAGGTGAAACTGCAGAGGCAAAACGCACGTAGATTGTAAGAAATAATATTCGATTTATCTGCCCAGTTTATTCGCGGATGAAAACAGAGATTAAGGCCGGGTTTTTCATTTTTTGGTTAACTATTAACCAGGAAGTTAGTCGACTCCCTATCTTTTTCTATATTATTAACCGGTAAAAAAATTTACATGCATGAGCATTATAAATTTTATAAATTTATACATGCTTTCAACTGAAAAAATGTTTAACGTGAAAAATTGCTTATTTATAATTATATACAATTGTGTACAATTGTACAAAGTTATATATAATTATAAATGAGTAATTTGTTGCCTTTCAAACATTTTTCGTATAAAAGCACGTATAAATCTATAAAATTATACAGAACTGTATAGCAGAATTGTATAGAATTATATAGAAATATACAATGTAAAAGTGTGGCGAGTGTGGCGCAGAAAAATGTGTACTGCTTAGGGCTAGTTTCACAAACGTCGGTTAACTGTTAACTAGGGTTCAGTCGACTCCCTATCCTTTTCCATCTTATTATTTAAGAAGAGACAGAGAATCAATTAATTGATTAGATAATAGGACAGAAAAAGATAGAGAGTTGACTGAACTCTGGTTAACAATTAGCCGACGTTTGTGAAACTGGCTCTTAGTAAATGAATGAACAAGAAGATCTGAGTTCAAATCCATCCACGGATACCGCTGGTTTTTTCGGATGCTACTACTCTTTCAGAGAGAAGTGGCAACTACTGAGAGTATCCTGCCACACATATCCCTGTCTTCCAAAAAGGGGGTTGGCGAGAGGCTAGCAACCCCTCATCGTAAAAATTCACTGTTGCGAAAACACAGAACGAGCCTGGGATGGAGGCAACTTGTTGTGAAGGCCAGGGCCCACTTGGGGCTGTAGAGCCGATTATGTTGATGATGATAATACAATGCAAAAATATTTACGAACATATTTTTATGTATAATTTTATATAATACTATATACAGGGTTGGGAAAGTTACTTTATAAAAGTATCTAGTTACAGTTACAGTTTCTTCGCTACAAATGTAACTAGTTACAGTTACAAGTTACCAATTCTGAAAAATACCGCGTTACAGTTACAGTTACTCAAAAAGTAACGAGTCGTTACTTTGCAGTTACTTTCTTGCAATGAAAATAAAAATATCAAATCTGCATTTGAATTGTAAAGCCTCGATAAAGGATTTATACACAAATGCAAGGTCTAATGCGATCTGCGGAGGTTTAAAAAATATATAAAGTAACCATTAAATTAGTTACCAGTTATCGAAACTGTAACTGAGTTAAGTTACAGTTACGGTTTGAGAGAAAGTAACGAAGTTAAGTTAGAGTTACCAAAAAGAAGTAAATCTAACTGTAACTTCGTTACAAGTAACGAGTTACTTCCCAACCCTGACTATGTATTTATTCATGTTCATACAGGAAAAATTGTTTGCCGGATATCTAAGAAGGGACAGAGAATCGACTGACCTCTAGTTAGCAGTTAACCAGAAAATGAAAGACCGAGATGTAATCGGGGAACTAAGAAAACTTTTCGAACAATAGGAATTCTAGTACTCCTCGATTGCGTGCCTGCGGTGAGAAAACGTTTCGGCTATTTCGTTGGACCGTGTTTCGGCGCGGGCTCAGAGATGCAACACGTCGTATCGTGTATCAATGTCAACGGGCGCTAGATCGAATCGTTGATTTAAGAATTCCTTGGCAGCCCGCTCCATTTCGAATGTTCACGGGGATTGCGTTACGTCTACTTGTATTGTTCCGCCGCGATGTTCGCCAGCGCGAAATCGTATCGAAGCCAAGTAAGTGGACACCGTAGTGGACAACGAAGCCTCCCTATTGAGAGAGGACTACGTTTCGCCCGGAGATAAGATTTGCCCCCAAATATCGTGAAAAAGGCTCTTGCATACTTTCTCCTCGAGTCGCCCATTTAACTCGTTGGTTAACTGGCTTTACACTATGTCGGTTATGAACATTGACACTTGCAACTTTGTATCAATTAAAAAGTACTTCTAACATATACAAGTAAATCACAAACAAGTTCAATTATAATTTTTTACATGTAACTTATAATTTCTTGAACGTTCTAGCTAATTGATTAACTTGCCTACACGTTAAATAACTTGCATTCTATTTGAAACATTAGGAAAATTTGTCACCTCTTTTTTTCATCATATATCTTTTGAGCTATAACGTTTTCATTCGTCGTTTATGTCATTATTTTTTCTTTTAAAGACCCAAAAGCACAAAGCTTGAGAACAAGTTTGAACTTGACGGAGTCCACCTCGAGTTTCACAGAGAGATCCCTAACTAACAATTTAATTCGGAGATTAACTGAAGACTCGAGGTGATCGGGCGGGAATTAAGGCAAGAAGAAGAAGAAGCAGAAGCAAACTCACGCGGGTGACAACGATCGGCGTGCCTAGATCGGCACCCCCGGCGATCCTTATGCCCCATGGCCTGCCTGTGTTGGATCTCTTGAGCTTTACGATCACCGTGTGCCTCCTCGTCATGCTCTAGACTGGGTTCAGTCAGCACCACCACCAACAACAACACAACAAACAGCCACGACACCAGCACCCGATCAATTTGCACTACGGTGGGCAAAACGACGGGCGAGAGAGAAAAAAAAGATATAAAGAGACTAAGTTCCAGGAGGAAAAAGGGATCTCCAATTCTTTCTCGGGGGAAGAAGGGAAGACCTCGCGCGGACAGACGCGAGCGATGGGTCTCCCGGTTCGTGGTCGCTCTCTGCTTCACTACTGAGATAGCAGCTGCAGCTGTAGCACTTGCCGACTATATGCCGACTTTGACAGAGCCCTGAGCTGAAAGCGAGAAAGAGAGAGAGAGGGAGAGAAAGAGAGAGCTCAGTTGCCCAACTCTAACGGAGACCACCGCCGGCCAGTCTCTCTGTTTCTTTCTTCGCTATTCTGGCCCCATTTCGAGTTGGCGTATCGCGCCAACGCAACGTATTGTTCTGATGATTCGACCCGCGCTCGTTCCTCTGGCATTTGCCACGCATATGCGTGCGTGCGTGCACGCATAAAATGCTTTACAGTCTCTCGCGCCTTGAGGGAGAGATGCAGAACCGCGAATATCCGCGACGGGAGGGATTCTTAAAGATGGTTTCAAACAGATCGGCCTGCCTGCTTGACTTGTCTTGTTATTTTCTAGAGAAAAGAATGCAAAAAATCGTAATATCAAAATAACAATTACAGATGCTTTGGCAACAGAAAGTGCGCGGGTAGAAAAGAATGTTTCTAGACTCTCGCTATATTGCTTTTCAACAATTGAAACTATCGTGACTTTTTTTTAGTTCTCCAAAGTCCAGTACTTGAAACAATAATTTCCTGTTAATTTTTCAAATTAACTTCACAGCTTAATTAAATCTAACAGGAACGCGGCAAGCGGCAAACATATAACAAGTTGAAACTTAAATCGAGAGATAAGTGCATAATACTATTAAAATCCAATATCTCTGGATATTACCTTTCTACAAACAACTTTATAGATATTAAGGAGATATAGAAGTGAGTGTAGTTTCAATTCTTTAACGCAACTTTGCGCGAAATTATTTGCCCACAATAACCGCAATAATGTGTAGAAATTAATTGGTGTATGTACAAAGTAAAGCGCCACTGCATCTTGAAGCAACAGAATTTTATATGCGCGGTTTAACAAACGCGACGAGTATCGGGGGAGGACAGAAGCGACATGAAAATAATATCCGTAACTTTATAACTCGTTAACTTTCATGCCTAACGCAACTTTATTGACTGGATTCGAAATACGTTTCGACACGTGTCTCATAAGCAATCCATTGTAATAGGGAGGGGGGAGGGAGGCGGATTTATATCTACGGTTTAGTATCCACGGAGAAAGCTGCGACATGTGTCAAATGTTCGAACGGCAGCTTCTTAATTCACAGATTTAACGTCGTTTTGGAAGAAATTATTCACCTGTTATAATTTGTTCCGACGTCAAAGTTGCGATTTACTTGTAATTATTAGAAGAACAGATATTCGCATACCTATATATTTTTTCAGAATTCGAATCGTTGAATTCTATTTCCAGTATCAAATATTTCTTTAATTGCCGTCGATTAAATTGTGGTATTCATTTCATCGTGAGATAAACCGATAAATTATACCGTTCCCTTCAACGCAGTCTCTGCCCATCGTTGCATTTTCCACAAAACCACAAACGACTCCAGACCTCATCGAGGAATCTGTCAATCGAGGTGGTTGGTTCCGGCAGACGGACGACCGAAATATAAATGGAGGAGTGCGAAGGGACTTCTTCCGGGTCGAGGGTCCCTCGTACTTACATAGGTCTCGTAAAAGTGGCCTATGGAGAACTTGAGTGCCATCCTCGATTCGCGAAAATCTGGCCGGTCACGTATATTTTTCCCTCGCTTGCGAGACACTCACACGCTTCTTCCGCCGTGCGACGTTCACGGACGGCGAGAAACTTCTCCCCTATGCGGGCCGATTCGAATGCAATTAGCTCGGCTGCACTGTAATTAACGGAGACTAGAGAACCAGAGACGGGAGAAAGAAAGAGTGAAATAATGAGAGAGAGGGAGAAAGAGGACGCGTGTACGACTTAAATTAGCAACCTATAGCGCGAAAGGTTAGTCAATCGCTCTAGTGACTCACTTTACCTTAATTTATACGATCATTAACGCATATCGCCAATATGCGATATGCCCGGCATTGGCGGTCGGCGATAATGAATCACCGTCTAATTACGCATATAGCAAGACAAACTGAAAAAGTGAGAGAGGAAAAAAGAGGAACCATTGGAATTATTCTGGTCCATCCGCGAGTACACGAGAACCGATGACAATAGCATCCCTTATCGTGTATAAAAACATATTTAATGTGTATAAAAACTTGCTCTTGCGATAAAATAGAGTTCAAAACGATAAAAAAAAACAATCTAAAATTAAGAGATAAAAAAATACAGTATACTTTAATATCCGAGAGAATGTTCCGTTACGAATATTATTCAGAATTTGAATAACATGTCCCACGAAGAACTCGTTGTTTCACAGATATTCCTCGGTGATTGCCCGACTGATGACCATACGTCGTATCTCATTGGTACCCGCGCCAATTTCATACAGCTTCGCATCGCGCAGCAGCCTCCCCGTTGGGTAATCATTGATGTATCCGTTGCCACCTGTCGAGAGTTTAGAATTAAATAAATAAATTAAATAAATGTCGCTAAACGTCTAAAAATTTCTCCAAGTTCGATTCTTATATCCCCGGTTCTCGCATAAATAATTTACAAATAATTTGTTACTATAATTTCTCTCGAAGATTTACCAAGTATCTGTATGGCGTCCGACGCTGCTTTCATGGCGTTCTCGGCGGTGAAGAGGAGCACCGCGGCGCAATCCTTGCGATTTACGTGGCCGGCGTCGCAGGCCCGCGCGACAGAGTACAAGTAGCTCCTGCTCGCACTCAGAGTCGTGTACATGTCCGATATCTTTCCCTGCGACGTGATTAGAGAGAACGAGATGTCAATTGGTGATCGCAACATTTTTTCAAACAGATGGTTTGGTTCTTGTTTTACCTGTATGAACTGAAACTCCGCGAGGTGCTGGTTGAATTGCTGTCTCGAATGAGCGTATTCGAAGGCGACGTCGCAACAGGCTTGCAAAATTCTAAAATTCAGGTCGCACGCAGTGAAATACGGACGTTCGCGAATAAAGTCGAAGCATTTATTTATCAATAATCCAGAAATAAATCTTTAATGTTGCAATTCCTGAGATGTCATATCATAAAGCACGTTGAAATGCAAAAATTGATATGTAATACACAATTTATGAAGCAGAGTTTCAGGATATACAATTTTTATTTTATTAATCGTGAAAGATGCATCCGATAATTTCTGTAAAATCTCCTTTTAACGCGAAAGATACAAGTACAGATGGAGAAGCTAAAAGTAGATCGAGCGAAATTTTATATCATTTATTGTTTCCTAATCCTAGGAACTTACCCCAACGGCCCACCAGTTAATACTAATCGCTCCAAATCCAGTCCGCTAAAGAGCACGTAAATGCCTTTGTTAACTTCCCCTAAAACGTTCGCGGCTACAACGGAAATAAACAATTTCTTTTAGGCAAAAGAATTTTACGCGTGAGAAACGAAAGAATAATAAGCGATTTCAAGCGATTGATAAAGTTAATAGACTAACTCCAGTTTTCACCAACGTCGTTTAACTTGGATCTTGTTAGTTGCGAAATCTTTTGCCTCTTTCTAATGGGACAGTTAGAAAGAGACAAAGGATGAATTAAACGAAGATCAAAGTTAAACGAGATTGGTGAAAACGGACCTAAATAGAAAATCCCTTAAGTATTTCGTACTTTGTTTTAATATTAAAGTATCTTGAGAGTAAAGTCTTGAAAATCTCCTGCGCGTTTCTCGTTCGAGCGCCGGACCTACCCGGTACTTTGCAGTCCTCGAAGACAAGTTCACCGGTGTTTGAGCCGCGCATCCCAAGCTTGTCCAGCTTCTGCGCCGTGCTGAAGCCCTCCGTGCCGCGCTCGACGATGAAGGCGGTGATACCGTGCTGCGGCTTATCCGCGTTCGGATCCGTCCTCGCGTAAACGATCAGCGTGTCCGCGTCCGGGCCGTTGGTAATCCAGAATTTGTTGCCGTTTAGCACGTAGTAGTCACCCTTTCTCTCGGCCCTCAGCTTCATGGAGACGACGTCGGACCCAGAGCCCGGCTCCGACATCGCCAACGCGCCCATGTGCTCGCCGTTGCACAGCTGTGATGAATGTCTCGTGTAACGTGAATAATTTGGAAAATATGCCAATATACTCTTGCGCCTAATAATATCTTTCGTATGAATTCATGTACATTTTTTCGCTTAGGAAACTACGTGCCACTACTGTCGGTCTTCAAATGCAGTCCGAAGCTAGAATAGTAGTTGAGTAATTAAATTGATAATCACTTTAAGAACACCGTTAATTTTTCGTATCTGTAGAAACGTCAATTGCAAAGAATATGTTGCAAAAAATGACCCTAGCCGGAATTTAAACATCTCTACTATCCGGGACCTAACGCGTCTTGCGATCAATTATGTGATTTAATCATGTGATTATACTATTTTAGCTTCAGCTTCAGACGTTCTGCGTCTCAAGAGCGACAGTAACAGCGCGTAGTTTGTTAAGTAGAAATATACATAAATTCTCGATAAAAATATTATTAAGCACAACTGCGTATTGGTACGTTTTCTATTTACGTGATTTTAATTATTATATGTAAATCGGTCACAACTCATTTAAAATGACAAATAATTTACTTATAAAATCACCAGTGATTGCGTAGGCGAGTGAGTTCAATTCCATCGCTGGAGACGTCGAAGGCGCTTCTTAATCTCCGCGAGAAAGTTAATTTGTAAAATTAGAAATGCCCAATCCATTTTTACAATTGTAATTACAATTTAATCGAAACTTATTCGCCGAAAAATATTCATTCATAGAAATGTTATATACATTCTCTTTTATACGAGATTCCAGATCTTTTATGTTAGACCTCCGAGTATGCATCGAGGCGAATTCCCTTCTGAAAGCTTCTATTTATATTTTATATAGCTGTAGATATGTGCCATCAGTTCATTTTTGCAATTGAAATTATATCTATTCGAAACTTATTCGTCGGGACATTTATTCGACAGAATATCGTATATTCCTTTATATATGTATAGAGAAAAGTCCCCTATCGTGCGATAAGCCTCTAATATGAGATAGCAGGTGTTTTACATCCACATTTAATTACAAATCTTTTTTAGCGCAACGATTGCACGATCTAACGATGAATTTTCCACTAAATAGATTTCATTTCAAGAACAATAAATACACGATGGAGCCAACAGATCTTATATAAAGAGCCCATCGCTGAATAGACTATAATTTCAATTGCAAGAATGAATTGATGGCATGTATCTACAGTTATATAAAATATAAATAGAAGCTTTTCCGAGGGAATTCGCCTCGACACACACACACTCAGAGATCTAACATAGAAGATCTGGAGTCCCCTGTAATAGGGGAGCTTCCTCTATGTAAGATTTCCCGAGAGATGGAACGTTCGGGACGAGTACTTACTTTAGGCAAGTACTTGCGCTTCTGTTCCTCCGTGCCATTTCGATGGAGCTGATTGACGCAGAGATTCGAATGTGCGCCGTAGCTGAGCCCGATGGCAGCCGAAGCTCTGCTAATTTCCTCCATGATAACGATATTGTCCAGATACGTGCCGCCTGTGCCACCATACTCCGGCTTCACCGTCGGACCCAACAGGCCGAGTTTACCAAGTTCCTTCCAAAACGCCTGCGTCCATACAATGTTATTTTAATAAGATCGTCGATTGAAACACGATGATGAGACTGGGGCGCGAATTTAATCTGTTGTAGTTTGTAATTCACTTGGATCTTTACCGTTTGTCGCGACACATAGAACACTTACCCTCAACTCGTCGAAATTGTTTTTCCTGTCAATCTCGGCGGCCTTGGGTGCCAACTCCTTTTGCGCGAAATTAAAAATGAGCGAGCGAAGCTGTGAACAGAGAACAACGGGTTACTAACAATGGCGTGTCAAATTTTCCGCTCTTTCGTGCAAAAGCAAAGAGATACGATAAAATATAAAGAAAAACGAACGGTAGAAAATTTTGATATATTTCTCATCGTCACTTCTTGCACTTTAATAAGAAAAAACTTACTAAATATAAACGCATAAAAATAAATATGAGCACCGAAATGCTATTAACCATCGAGCCCGGGTATATTTTTGTAACTAATAATAGGGAAATATTGAATATCAATATTTATACCGTTCAATAAAGAAATTTTTTCTTTTTGAGCGCAGGAACGAGAATAATTGTTTTTCCGTAGCTTTTTGGTGTTGAATATACGATCCTCCCCTTACAGAAATATAAGCGAAATAATTACTAGAAAATTACTGTTAGTACATCAATAATTTCTAATAGTTCAATTACTGGACCGTAGTAATTATTCGGTGCTTTTTTGCTCCCAGTATATAGAGGAAAGTTCTCCATTATGAGACAGCAGGTTTTCAACGCCCAAATTCAATCATAAATCTTTTTTCACAACGGTTACACGATCTAACGATGAATTTTTCACTAGACAGATTTCGCCCTCCCCCTCCCCCCCACAAGGGCAATAAAACCATGGTGGAATCAACAGATGATGCTTATTAATTTAACAGAAACCCCGCTATCCCATATTAGGATCCTATCTCATAATAGGGGGACTTTCCTCAACATTTCCGTAAGGGCCGCTTCGTGAATACGCATCGATGCATATTCTGTTGTATGTATGTATGTACATACAACAGACACATACATACGTCATTGTTATCGCACGGCCGTGACGCATTTAGTGACAAGTCACGCGCACCATATGCGATTATCGCGAAAAGAAAAACGCGCGTCCGCGTGAAACGGCGGGATAACAAATAAATGATAAAATTACAGTCTCTCGACGTAACATTGCCAGCATAAAATTAATATAAATTATAATCATTCGACTGTGCAAATTCTTGGACGAGCCTCCGTCGTCGCGACTGCACTGCAAGTGTAAAGTCAACGGCACACGATACTATTTTTCCTACTGGATCACTTACGAGAACCAATAAGGATGCAGAGTTTTAGATCAGGTGGTTTAAAGTTAAATCCTGATTGGCTCTCGTAAGCAATCCAGTAGGAAAAATAGTATCGCCGCGTTGGCTTTAACTGGCTTTAACTAGTAGGTCCACTCAGTCATTTGTTTCGTTTTGCGTCGATCCCTTCTGCGCATTCGACATTGCTCTGGGCGGACGAATGAGAAAAAGGTTGTACGTGTAGTAGTGTGGCTTTGACGAGTACGTATACACACAGCATGCTGGATCCTGCCCGAATGCACGGCGGAATACCACGTGATCGGGATCGCAGGGGCTCGAGAGATCAAAGGGGCCGACAGAGAGTGGATCTACTAGTTATACTATGCAGTGCCGGATGCACTTTGAGGCGCGGGGGCCCCCGCGTCTCGACATCCAGCTTCTTGGCGAAGGAGCCGTCGAACTCGCGATTGACGCGAGCGAACGTCACGTCGCGCGACTGCCTACTAACCTCTCTCTGGTCGTCGCTCAACCCGAAGACGTTCTCGTCGATCTTGTAATAGCTCGACGCGCGGCACGCGCCGATTTTGCCGACGCGATTCGCGAGTGGCCGCGAAACGGCGATGCAACGCGCCAGAAACATTCTGTCTACCGTCGATAAATATGGAGAGTTTCTCAGCCGAGAGATAAGCGACTTGCAATCGCTCTGCTCGCTGCCAAAAGGGAAACACTGACGCGAGAGTTTAATGTCGCTTGCACTGGGAAAATCTAGTGGAATTCACGTTTGTTATTGACGTTAAACGATCTCGATCGATTGGAAAAATTGAGCGAGACCAACTCGCCACGGAGAGGACGGAAACTCACCGGGGAGAAAACTACACGAAATAGCTGATAACGTGTAGACTTTGTAATGCTCGTGCTGAGTGGGCGGAGGGGGGGAACATGAAGAACAAACAACCAATGTATTATCATTAATTAATGATAACACTTGCGTAATCGTTGTTATTTTTTTATATTGTAATGTCCGCCCGATAGAAGCGAAAGAATGTAAAATGAGGTGACTATCCGTCCTGAAAATCCGACCTTCGTCCCGAATTTTCTTGACGAGTCATTCGACCGAATTTCGAACAGAGAAATTTGGTTCTTAAATATTGAGTCATTCGACCGAATTTCGAACAGAGAAATTTGGTTCTTAAATATTGAGTCATTCGACCGAATTTCGAACAGAGAAATTTGGTTCTTAAATATTGAGACTCTCGAAGCTCGAAACTTAATTATAATTTATAAATTAATACGGTGCAGTGTAGTTGATTACATATATTCCAAAATAGAATTTTTGTACGTATCAAATTAATAATTTAAATATTCTGCGACTATTAAAATACATCAAAGCCTAGTCTACAATGAGCTCTTTGTGTCCAAAAACATTGTGTTTTAATAAGCGAATCAAAACACTTGGAAAAATTTGTTGATGTATGTACAACGTACAATTTATTTGTCATATTTGCATAAATTTTTATATCGGCTACAAAATAGATTAAATATGCTATAGTTCTTTTAGATAGTACTTCCTTCTCCTCCTGTTTTTTCCTTCAAATTTCTCTTCTCGCTGGGATCTAAAGCCCTGTGTCCACGATCCAAGAACTTTGTCCAAGTTCTAGTTCCAAGAAATGCGTAGCCAATCAACCTGCAGCTATTCCATAAGTCCCAGTCTACAATAGATAATTTAAGCCCTAAGCTTTAAGAAATTGGCCAATCACGGTCAAGTATGAGAAGAATGCGCGACTGTGATTAGTCAATTTCTTAAGTCCCAGTCTACAATAGATGATTTAAGCTCTAAGCTTTAAGAAATTGGCCAATCACGGTCAAGTACGAGTAGAATACGCGACTGTGATTAGTCAATTTCTTAAGGCTTAGGGTTTAAATCTCTATTGTAGACTGGGACTAAGGCTTAGGGCTTAAATCTCTATTGTAGACTGGGACTAAAAGCCGTAAGGTGATTGGCTGCGCATTCTTGGAACTAGAACTTGGCCAAGTTCTAGTTCCGGGAAACGTGTGGCCAATCAACGTGCAGCTTTTATGGAATAGCTGCAGGTTGATTGGCTACACATTTCTCGACACTAGAACTTGGACAGAGTTCTAGCATCGTGGACACAGGCCTTAACGTCACCTTATATTTGTCCGCGGTGTATACATTACTGAGGAGTCAAAAGCGTTTGCTTACTGCGCATGTGCGAATTTAATCCCACGCAGCACATCACTGTATATTCAATATACTGTGACAGCACTGTCTTTGCGGCTTGTGTCACACACGTGGTTATTCATCGATGCCGAGTAGAGCTGGACCAGCTGGACTTGTAGACGATTATTAAGTGCGATTACACTTGCAATCGTGAAGATCAGAACGAACGAGAGAATGGACGTAAGTGCATCTCGTTTTTATCTCGGACATTATACATTCCGGAGTACAGCATTTAAATTCACTCGAATGGAAGCACCCCGGGCTTTCTTTCCTTTTCTTAAATAATTGCTATCTGCTTTCACGCTATGAAATATACAAAGTGTAATGAAATTTAAAAGAATAGTCGATGGTGTGGATACACGTGTACTGTACATTTGCTTGCATGATTCTCCGACTTTATTTCTCACATACTGTATATCTGCAAACGACTCTGGCTAATTATTGAATATTGTTAGGAAAAAGCGAAGTTAGTGCAGGCGTTTCTTCTGAAGAAAGGCTTAATGAAGCAGCACATAGAATCTTATAACTATTTCATCAATAAGGAGCTTCAAAACATCGTCAAGGCAAATGAAAAGATTCAGAGCGACGAGGATTCACGCTTCTACCTGAAGTAAGGACGGCGCCACGTACAAGATGCCGGATGCAATTGTATCGCGAACTAAACGGCCCTCTGTTTTCTCACGTTCCAGATATTTGAACATAGAAGTGAAAATGCCTGAAATTCAGGACACTTCTACTACAACGCGATCAACCACGCCACACGAGTGCCGTTTGAGAGACTTAAATTATTCCGCCCCAATTTGCGTGGACATCGAGTATCTGAGAAACAACGAACGGGTAATAAGGAAAAATCTAGTCATTGGAAAGTAAGAACAAGATTGGTACACATGAAAAATAGACGTGTAGAAATTCTTAGGATATTATATAATTTGTATAATCTGCCCACAGAATGCCGATAATGTTGCGCAGCTCTAAATGCGTGTTAGCTAACAAGTCCGAGTCCGAGTTGGCCAAGATGAACGAGTGTGCCCTCGATCCTGGCGGCTATTTCATTATAAACGGTCAGGAGAAGGTGATATTGATACAGGAGCAAATGGTTAGGAACAGAATTATCTTGGAAGAGGACAGCAAGAACTGCATCGTCGCGTCGTGCAACAGTTTCACCCACGACAAGAAGACCAAGACGAACGTTGCGAGCAAGGCTGGGAGGTATTACTTGAGGCACAACATGTTCCAAGACGACATACCGATCGCCGTCGTTTTCAAAGCGATGGGCATAATAAGCGACTTGGAGATCATGCAAATGGTCGGCACGCAAGAAGTCTACCTGCACAAATTTGCGGCTAGTCTCGAGGATTGTCAGGAGCTGGGCGTCTTTTCGCAGAACCAGGCGTTGAAGTATCTCAATAGGAAACGGCGACAGACAAGATTTTACGTTCCGAAATCCCGCGTTACCGACGAGATGAAAGATGTACTGGCGACGCACATATTGTCTCACGTGCCCATCGTCGTCGACTTCAACTTCCGGCCGAAGGCGCTGTATCTCGCCCTGATGATCAGAAGAGTTATAAACGCTCAGTCGGATCGCAGCCTGATCGACGACAAGGATTATTACGGCAACAAACGTCTGGAACTGGCTGGATCCCTTCTCGCTCTCATGTTTGAGGACCTGTTCAAAAGGTTCAATTGGGAGCTCAAGCAGATTGCCAATAAGAACATTCCCAAGATAAAAGCGGCGCCGTTCGACATTGCCAAACACATGAGACACGATCTGATTACCAACGGGCTGGCTTTCGCTATCTCGTCGGGTAATTGGACCATCAAGAGGTTTCGAATGGAGAGGCATGGCGTGACGCAAGTGCTATCCAGGCTCTCGTACATCTCGGCGCTTGGCATGATGACGCGAGTCCACTCCCAGTTCGAGAAAACCAGAAAAGTGTCCGGCCCACGATCGTTGCAGGGCTCTCAATGGGGCATGTTGTGTCCGAACGACACTCCCGAGGGAGAATCTTGCGGTTTAGTGAAGAATCTAGCATTGATGGCTCACATCACCACGGAAGTGCCGGAGGAGCCGCTAATAAAGCTGGCGCTTAATCTCGGCGTGGAGAACATTTACACTCTTGCCGGGGAGGAGTTGACTAACGAAGGCGTATATTCGGTTTTTGTCAACGGTATCTTGGTGGGCATCGTGCAGAAGCATCAGAGACTGGTGCGTCAATTCAGAGCATTACGCAGGCATGGATACATTAGCAGCTTAGTGTCGATATACACGCAGCATCGGCACAAGTGCATTCAAATCAGTTCCGACGGCGGGCGATTGTGCAGGCCGTGCATCATAGTTAAGAACGGAAAGTCTCTTGTCAAACAGAAACACATAGAGGATCTTGAGCGAAATATCACGACGTTTGAAGACTTCATTCATGCTGGTAAATAATTTATTTGTTTTATTCATATTGTATATCTAATATGTGTAAATATGTATGTATGTATATAGAGCAAAGTCCCCCATTATGAGATAGGCTCCTGACGTAAAGGCCTGTGTCCACGATGCTGGAACTTGGCCCAAGACGCAGGCCTTAAGATAGCAGGTTTTCAACATCCAATTTCACAAATCTTTTTCGCAACAATTAGGCCCGCATCGGACTACGGATTGAGATTGAGATTAGATTGAAATTTTACCAGAGTAAAGTTTACTAATCTCAAGCTTCTACTCTAATTGGTCAAATTTCAATCTAATTGATGAATTTTCCACTAAACAGATTTCACTCCAAGGGCAATAAATTCCTAATGGAGTCAACAGACGATGCCTATTAGCGGGAACTGCGCTATCTCGTAACAGGGGGACTCTCCTCGACATTTGTTCAGTTGTATAATTATTCTGTCGTTTACCGCGTTTAGGTCTGATCGAATATCTAGACGTGAACGAAGAAAATGACAGCTTAATCGCATGCACGGAGGCCGAGATCACTGACGACACGACGCATCTGGAGATCGCGGAGTTCGCGCTGTTGGGGGTGTGCGCGGGATTGATACCGTACCCGCACCACAATCAGAGCCCGAGAAACACTTATCAATGCGCCATGGGTAAACAGGCCATGGGGGTCATAGGGTACAATCAGCGTAACCGCATTGACACAGTCATGTACAATCTAGTATATCCACAGAGGCCCATAGTGAAAACTCGCCCGATCGAGCTGATCAATTACAATAAATTGCCGGCCGGCGAAAATGCGATTGTCGCCGTGATGTCGTACAGCGGATACGACATCGAGGACGCGTTGGTTTTCAACAAGGCCTCCATTGACCGGGGATACGGAAGATGTCTGGTGTATCGAAACTCGAAGTGCATATTAAAGAAGTATCCCAATCAGACGTACGACAGGATCATGGGGCCGTCGATAGACGCCAACACTAAGAAACCTGTACCGAAGCATGAGATTCTCGACAGCGATGGGATTGTGGCGCCTGGTGAAATGGTGGAAAATAAGACTGTGAGTATCTCCTGTTCGAACAGAGCCGGGACTAGGGTGTGGCGAACGAGGCACTTGCCTCGTGTAAAAGATTTGCTGGGACGCAAAAATGGCAGTACAAATTTTTATAACATAACGTTACTTGTATACACGATGATTAGATTTAGTTCTAATAAAATTAATATTGATATATTAATTTATATATAATAAATATTTTTATTATATTTTACGTGCTATAAAAGTATTTTTGGTTACTAAGAGACGCATTTTTTTTTCTTTGGTCCCTGGCGCCAAAATATCTGGTTCCGGCTCTGTTGAATGACATTGGATATTCCCTTGTATTTTAATTTTACGTCGTACGCAGATAATGGTGAACAAGTCAGTACCGGCGCCGAGTGAGAATATGGGGCCAGTGAGCTCCGGCAATGTGCAAGCGCATCCGGAATATCGAAACGCGGAGATTCAATTCAAAGGCCTGGTCCCGGCGTACGTAGAGAAAGTTATGATATCCAGTAACGCGGACGATGCCTTTTTAGTGAAGCTATTGCTGAGGCAAACTCGGCGACCGGAGATCGGCGATAAATTCAGCAGTCGCCACGGGCAGAAGGGCGTTATAGGTACAATTCTTCCGATACTTTCGCGTTATTCACGTTGTAAAAGAGACCTACTAATCTCCGATAACGTTCGTTCAGGTTTAATCGCTGAGCAAGAGGATATGCCATTTAATGATCAAGGCATGTGTCCCGACATAATCATGAACCCGCATGGCTTTCCATCTCGAATGACAGTTGGCAAGCTGTTAGAGATACTCGCAGGCAAGGCTGGGGTCGTAAATGGAAAATTTCATGATGCAACAGGTACATCTTGAAAGATAATGAAAGATAACGACTGATCTCTTTAGTCACGTTTAATCTTATTGTGTAATTTTTGTCTTTTTTAGCATTTAGTGACAATAAAGTGAGTGATATTTGCGAAGAATTGGCGAAGAACGGCTATAATTACTTGGGCGAAGATTTCTTTTACAACGGCATGACTGGGGTACCGCTAATGGGATACATCTACTCTGGACCAGTAAGTTTCTCTGTGATAATTATTGTTTATATATAAATTGATCATCATTTCAGATAAGAAATTTAGTTTAAAAAGGTAGAGAAGTAAATACACAATTTTCTTTTTCTTTTTTTTCCCCCCTATAGAGCAGCTACATTGTTGGGAAGCACAATTATATTAGTTTTGCAAAAATTCTACTCCTAATCAAAACGATGACAGGGAATACTTTTATATAGATATATTAAAATTTCGAAATTCTTTTATTTTCCAATGAAATAAGGACTTGTATTTCTTTCCGAATAATGATACCATTATAAGGTTGATAAATGACTAAATGAGTATATTTGATGTTTCTTGTATGACGTTTAAAATGTGATTTGTAGGTTTATTATCAGAAATTGAAACATATGGTGCAAGACAAGATGCACGCCCGTGCCAGAGGCCCAAGAGTAGTTCTAACACGTCAGCCAACTGAAGGACGTTCAAGGGATGGTGGTTTGCGACTGGGTGAAATGGAACGTGACTGTCTGATCAGTTACGGAGCTAGTATGTTATTAGTGGAGAGACTCATGATATCGAGCGATGCTTTTAAAGTCGACATTTGTAACAACTGCGGCCTGATAGGGTACAACGGCTGGTGCCACAGATGCAAATCCAGCTCTTCCGTCTCTACGATAACGATACCTTATGCTTGTAAATTATTGTTCCAAGAGATGCAGTCCATGAATGTAGTACCTCGTTTGTCTCTAAAGGACTATTGTGATTGACCGTACATTATAATAGAAATAAAAATACGAGAGAGAAATAATATAAGACTTGCAATAATTTTGAAAGGATTTCAAGTGTGTTAACAATATTAACTTAATTTATTTCATGGACACGAGGTCGTCAAAATTTACCTAAATACAGAATAAAAACAGCATCTGTCATGTAAACCTATTACAGATTGTGTGTACATATAATATAAATAATTATTATAGTATGCATTTTGGAAGACGTATACTTTGGTCTTTGGGGTTTGATTATTTGGAAAAGCCTTCACATTATTGTAAATGCTATTTAACAAACATTTAGTTATGCAGCAAATAAATGGATTCCCAAATCCATATATCATACTTTTTCGCATTCACAATACCCAACTCTTCAATTAAGTTCCTATAGACTGAGAGGCGTACATAAATTGCGATCGGTCCTGGAATCCGTTTCCATGCCATGTGTCATAACTAATGTATAATTATTAATATAACTTTACATAAACTATATATGTATAGTTATATATATATATATATATATATATATAGCCAAGAACATTGAAAAATATGCTTTTCTCTTTTAGTAAGCAACATTTTAAGCATTTCTCTTAACTATTCCCATAACTTTATGTTATAAAGATTCCGCAAACAGACGAATTTCTGGATTTTCAATATTGCTTTTACTTTGTATGAGCCGCAATTCAATTTTTCTAACCGATTGTGCCCCGATATCCGCATACACTGCAAATAATTATTTGTGTTAACAATAATGCTGAATATTTTCCGAATAACATTTTGTCGCGTCAAGTGCCATTTACCTTTCGAATATTCATATGTATTAAGCAGCACGCTGTACAGGGAATTTACAGTTTTTTCCATGGTTGCTTTCATATCACTTTGTAAGTATACGTGGGCAAGAAATAACGCAGCAAAGAGATCTCCGGAACCCGTGAATGTTGCTGGTATTTTAGGAATATCAACTTTCATTAACGCGTTATCTGAGAAACAAAAAAGACGTAATCAAGAACGCAAATCTATGATCGTTACGAGGCATCTCTTATCTCGCATGATCCACCTTTCGCGGTGCTCACTATTGCCGTCAGCTTGTCGCTGAGCTCGGTCGACGACACAGCCACGGTTTTTGGTCCGTTCTGATGTAACTTTTTAATCGCATTTTGCAGTTCGCTCATATTAGTGACTTTCTCATTTGTAAGTAATCTGAAAACATGAAAGCGTTTCGTAAGTGGTCACGAGAGGAGCGTATTCATTTCTAAAAACTAGTGGCAATTTATATAATCGCAACATCAATATATTGAAACATAGGTAATGCCATACATACTCCAATTCAAATTGGTTTGGAGTTACTATATCCGCCAGTGGCACGATTTCCTGTTTGTAAATATCTTTCAGCGCTTCCGGGACATACATTTTGCCATTGTCGCCCATGACCGGGTCGCAAACTAGCATGGAACAAATCGAATAGATATGATTCGAAGCAAGCCTGGTCTTGAAAATTATTTTCAAGCCAAAATATGGATTTCCAAGCTCTTTCGAGAGGACAGTATTGACATTTTTGTAACCGACCGGATAAGTTTAACATTTGAAAGTCGTGAAAAAGCAAGATATCTCCCATTTCAAAATTCTTCAATGATGTTATGCGTCGAAGTCTCCTCCTGACAGACACAGATAAAACTTGACGGGGACCATGTCTGGGCTGGGTGAGCTGGGATTATCTAATCTAAATGGTAACGTACCGTATGTAAGATTTGGATTTTTGGCTTTTAGAGTCGTGACTAGTGCCGCTACTCTTTTCAGAAAAGAAGCAGAGCCGATGTAGCCAGTTAGTAAATGCGTATAATTGTCCAAGCCATTTTGCACCAGACCGTCAACTAGGTCGTCTAAAGAAGTAATTACATTGAGAAATATCTCGTTGCTACACACAAGCATTATCGTTATCTGGTGGAAACATTTTACTGAAAATACAGTGGCATCTGGCTGAAATGTACTTGACAATCTCCCAGTTGACTCCGTTTCATTATTACTTCAACACCTCAGGAATTTTTCATTAAAAAGCAACATGGTTTCTAGTCCAATTCTGCAGCTCTCATAATACCTAAGACATTTCATAATTACGTTTTTTCATCACTTTTCCACGGTACGCTTTAACTCTCCTTGCGTGTCGCAGCATTGAATCCCTACATTAAATAAGGAAAATTCAGTAATTTGTCGACGACTTCCATTTTTCACTTCTCGTGTCAATCTCGCAGTATTCTCGGCAAAATATTTCCATCAGGTTCATCCTTTTTCCACCAAGGTCTTACCTAAATCTTTGTCATTCAGCACTTGACCCTTAAATGCCTTATAGCCGGTATGATTGGACAATTGTACAGAATTAATTGTGTCAACCTCAAAGCCCAGTAGCTAATGAAAAATTGGTATTTCAGGCGTGCGAAATTGTTCGGTCAATTGTTACTTAGGCTACAAATTCAACCTAATTTCAGGCTGTTCCAGAGGCAGCGGATTATCGAAAAAACAAATCGACGTCGGTCAGGCGTCGGCACGAACATTAAAATAAAAAAAAAGGTATCTTCGTAAAGATAACAATATGTAATTAAGTCCAAGTTTAACAAGCTTTTCATTTAACAATTTGTTGTGTTAATTTGAATAGAACACAAGCGCTTTATCGATAACAATTTAGTACACTGTACGATACGTCCGTCCTTGCGTCTGGAATCTTATCTCTAATGCATGAGTCTTATCTCTTACACTCCACGAGTGCTTTCGCAATGCAACACGACGTAGGCTGCGGTCAAGCTATCGCTTTACGGCCCGGTTTTTTTATTTTCTCGTTGACTGTTGACTAGAAATTGGCCGACTCTCCATCCTTTTCTATATTATTTCTATATTACTAAGAAGAGACGGGTAATCGACTAACCTACGGTCAACGTTGAACCAGAAAATGAAAAACCTCGGTGTTTCTTTCAGAAAAGATGGAAAAGAGACGAGGAAAGGCTGGTTTTTGCGAGACCGGTAACTTACGTCGGAATCGGCGAAAAGTAATCAATTACAGTCAACTATTAACTCCACACTTTTAACGGCAATTGGATTACAATTTTCACAGATTCCGGTATAATTTAACTGTTACGGCCTGGCATAAACCAGCCTTGAACGCTTCAAAGCGTGCGGCAGCTCGGCCGCAATCGTATCACACGAGTCCAGCGAAAATCGCAATTTTGCCGCGAATGGAGACTCGCGGATTCGAGGGAGGGGGGGGGGAGCGGATCGTCGTCGAGGGGGATTCGATCGAGAGGGGCACAGTCGCGAGATTCTCGACGTTCGATTCACCTGCAACGGGAAAGTAGCGCTCTTGTTGCCGACGTATCCCGACACTACGTGGCTCTGGACCGAGAGAATGCGCGGTGTCCTCGCGGAGCACATGGCTGACCGGTTGACTCGCGGTAACACTTTAATCCCTCAAACACCCAGCCGATACTATACTTGCCGCCTGCCGTGCTCCGCGTACGCTGGGTGAGAGCCAGGAGTCGCGCGACCGGCACCTGCTGCTGCGCGGTAACGAATGGCACGAAGTTGGCGCCTGTACAATCTATTTAACCGAACAGTGCAGTGATCTGGCGACGGCGGGCCCTGAATTCTGTGCCACCCTCAACAAGTCTCCCCGCGATTTGCGTTACGCTGTACTTTTATGGCTCTTGAAGTAAAATATGAAATGCACTATATGAAATGAAATAAAGATCTAAAGATGTTATACAATTTAAGATGTGATGGAAGGAAATAAAAAAGTTTCTAGCTTACAATTAGAGATTTGTGTAATATATATTTTTTTAAAAATCTAATCTAATTTTGCCTCTTTAACTTAAAGATCAGCGAGTTCTCGAGTCATTTTGTAAAATCAAGATTCTACCAGATTGTTAGCTTATCGACGGGGATTTTCTTCCACATATTCTCAAAATTAGCTGAAAGGTTCCGCCGACGGTAGGTGGCGCGCCGGTACGAGTTTTAATCGCACGTGACCGCGTCTAGGCAACTCCGCGTCTATGGCCGGGCGCATGGTGGTCCTTTAACCTAAATATGCGCGCCCGATGCATCGGACATAATTCACGATAACTGTCTATTTTTGCGGTAGCGCAGCTTCTCCCTCGCACCCGGACGCAACGTAAGTCGCGCGTGGCTGCGCGCTCGCCGCGCCGTCGCCTCGCGATCGCGAGTGACGCGAGATCGAGACGGGCGGGACGAGCCCGTTGTCACGCGAGCGCTTTTCCCCCCTGCGGTCGTGGCAATTACATAAATAACCGTTTTGCAGATTAATGACGATGCTGCAGTTCAGCGCGATGCTGTACACGACGACCGCCAGGCTCGCGCCCCGCACGTCCTGGCGCTTCGCCGCGCTCGCGGCCTGCAACTCCACCGCGGCTACCGGCGAGCAGCCCGCGCCTGTGAACGTAAAGTTGCAATTGACAGCGACCTGATCGCTTCTTCGACGAATTCGACGTCTTTTTGTTTTATAATAATACTTCATGTTCTATGCGTTAACTTGAACGTTTCGCTCGCAGTCCTTTGGGAGAGAAAGATTATTCAGCGGTTTATTTTGTAGGAGGACAACGGTGCTAAGCTCTCAAAAGTGCAGGCGGAAGTCGTGCAGAAGCAAGAGGAGCGGAAATCCAAGAACACGGGTCCGCGGACGACGCCTCACGCGACGGAGGGAAGGAACGGTAGGAAGAGGCTGTTGGGTGAGAACACTGTGTTTTCCAAACAGTTTCAAGCCGCCAAGTCCGTAAACGACTTGCTGGACCTGGCAGTACTGCCAAGTCTTACCACGAGTAACGCGCTGAGGCTGATATCAAGCATAACTAATCAGATAACCAGCGGGAAATCGTTGATAATGGATATCGAGGCTGACGAGAGATTTATTCACCTCAGGAAGATAGTTCAGAACAGCGGTGAGACGAAAACTCACGAGACATTGGACAGTCTGTCAAAATACTCTCAGTTATCTACACCTGCGATGATCGCAGTAAGTACGAGACCTGGTGCACTTTCGATATATTCACAAATAATGTACCGAGTCCATGTCTGCAATGTTTGCAGTTGCCTACACCTGCAATAATTGCGGTAGGCATGAGATGTATTGAATGTATATATATTTTTGTGTGATGAAGGTGATAGCGTCGTTGAGAGAACAAAAAAAGAGAAATACTCCACTATTGAAGATGCTGTCGTACAATATCGTCAAATACAATACGGCGTTAGATTTGAAGCAGTGCACATCTTTGTTGTACAGCATGGCCATGCTTAATTTTCTAGACAAGGTACGCACATCGTTGAGTTAATGTCGATACGAAAGTAAGTTCGGTCAAGCTTACGAATGGTATGTCGAACAGGTCTTGCTAGAAAAAATCACGTCCGACTTACTGGCGTGTATACCGGAGAACAAGTCCGCTGCTTTAAACAAATCCATAATAACGTCGCTGGGATTTCTGCGTTACAAGAATGTGAGTGTGCTCGATGCATTCTGCGACACGTTCTTCGAGAAATCGATGGACTACAAGTTTATGGATTATTCGTCGATACTACAAACGTTTGCGGCTCTGCAATATAAATCTCAGAAAGCGAATTCGTTTCTCGAGGTACGTGGATAGTTTCCCTGTTTATTTTAAACACTTGAAGCTTCTCTTAGATCGTAAAAAAACAAAATTTCACTTTCTTTGACGTAGGTATATGCTCTTATGATTTTTGTTACCAGGGATTTACAAAACACGCTAGCTCCTCTAAAACGTCTTGCATCGAATGGTTGGATATTGTTTGGTCCTTGGCGGTTTTAAACGCAGTGCAACCGGCACACGTAAAATCCGTGCTGCAGCCTGCATTTATAGAAAACTTACGCAGTTCGTATCTATTGCTAAATAATTAGATTTAAGCTCTATTATCGTTTCTTAGTAATAACACTGATTTTTTATGACTTATGCAGCCTCTGACCAGCTAAATATATCAAAGATATTAAAATTGTTGAATATCAACGCCGTTGCACAGTTTGTACTGAAGGATTATCAAGGTATACATAGGGAGACATATTTATTAGTACATTTTTAACAATTCAAGGAATTATTATTGGTTTAAATTACAGGACCTCTTTTGAAGGAAGACTCCGAATTTTATAATGTACCTATAGTTAGATCAAAGGAAAAAGAAATGTACATAAACGCGTTGTTGGAAGCACTGACGGAGGTATTACCGTCTTCGTCTTATTTTAAAACAAATTTCGATACGAACATGGGCTTTCTGTTAGGTAAGTTATTTAAGTAAAAAAAATTAATACCGGCACAACTTCGTAGAATTCGATTTTGAAATTCACAGATGCGTGAAAAAGATGTGAACATTATGTGTTTTAATTATTTGAAATGAATAAGTATCTGCTGCATTGATATCTAAATTCAGCGAAGTTATATACCAGTATTAATCCATTCTTTTTCACAAAGTAAAATTGAATAAATACATTGCTTTAATCTTGTTGAACAAAAAAAATATCTGACTATTTATCTCTAGATGCGGAATATCGCATAAATGAAGAACACAGGCTTGTAAAAGTGGAAGATTGGAATGAACAGTCTAGTAATGTACAAAGGTACGTCTATCCGTTATTAAGTTTGTCTTTGAGAGTGTATTAGTGAAAATTATTCTGTAATTCGATAAGACTTGATTAAGGCCCGGTTGCACCAACGTCACGTAATTTTAACTGTAGCTTAATTCACTCTTTGTCGCTTTCCAACTGTTTCCCTTAGAAAGAGACAAAGAGTGAAATAAGCTAAAGTTAAATCTAAGCGACGTTGGTGCAACCAGGCCTAAGACACAATGTTATTCTTAAATAAAAAATTATGTTAATAATTTCAACACTGAAACGTAAATGGAAAATCGATAATTATACATAACCATTTCAGGATAGCAATAATGGTACACGATTACCATGATTTTTGCCTAGGACAGAACGATCTCGTAGGATCGACATATTTATATACACAATTATTAAAAGCCAGAGGATACGACCTCGTATCAATTTCTTATGAAAACTTCAGTGTACAGGACAACGTAAAAAAACGGGCCAACTACTTGAGGCAGTGTATGAACAGCATACAGGAAGATGAGTCAGTAAACCAAACAGAATTATTATAGTGCAGTATTGGTTTAGTCCAATAAAATCTAAATAAATATTTAAAAAGAATGTATAGAGGCGCTTTCATTATTCCTTATATGTATATTGCAAAAATTAAAATTAAATGGTGTTGCTTAGTTATCGAGTCATCTTATTTTATCGTTCTCTATTCGTTCTAAACGAGGTAACTGATTTTTGTTGTACCAATCTACACATAAGTTCTACTGTATTCTCATCTTGTACTTTCGATGATTTCGTTGCAGTCTTACTGAGGAAGACCCCGAAGAAGGGTCGAAACGTTTACATTAAAGAGAAATTCTGTTTCTGTATTGTGAGAACAGAGTTCCGTTCATTTTGTGGCTAACATTGGCACTTCTCCTTTCTACGTATTTTCTTTTTGGGAGCCTTCACAACTTGTTGGAATATTATTTTATCGTGTTATGTCACGAACCAGCGACAAATGAGGACAAATAAGAGCCATCCCTTTAAATATCCATAATCTTTTTATCTTGATAGTCATTTTATTTACATTGAGTAATATTTTATCTCACTATCGCTTATGAATTAACTACTTTACTCTTCATGTTTCACTGTCGCTCCGACAGCGCATCACTTAGGCGGCCGCCAAGGCTCAATCTTTGGTTTCGTAGTGCTGTAAGGCATGTAAGCTTGATCAGTGCCACTCATATTCTGTTGGTGATCCATCATCCATTTGTACTTCGGCCGAGACGGGTCTTTGTGCGGCGGCAAATCCGTCTTGTAATGCAACCAACCGAACCACTCGGCCGGAACCTGCGAGCCGTCATAATTGAATCCAACTCTATCTGCGTATATTACCCACCTGTTACGACCTGTAAAGAATATCGAATAGCCGCGTTGTTGATCTGTTGTATTTTCTGCCGTCGTGGACTTTCACAAATTCAAGATTTGTAAAAGCAACTCGATGGCACATGCACACTAGGAATCACTGATGCCTTTCCACATAAATTTGCACACAGATCAACACACATTCCAAGATTTTAAATAAAATTATTCGGCATTTATATTTATAGTATTATAATAATTTGGAAAATAGAATTTGTAGAGACAATTCTCGATTATAATCCATATATGTGAATCTAGCAACTTTTCCAATTGATGTCGCATCGATTGGAGTTTCATTTCAGGAGATTCTAATGACGCATTTCTAAGAACTGTTCCCAGATGCTCTCGAGACAACTATTAACATTTGAATTAAATCTGTTCACGTTCTTGTCAAATATATTATCCGCGCATACGCATTCCCGAAATAATAATTTTTAACACTCCCAAAATGTTATAGAAGCAACTATTAAAAATTCAATTAAATCAGTCCAATCAGTCAATGACATTTGCACATGCGCAGATGAGAATACATAGTTCTAACACTTCGGAAACGCTGTAGAATCACCTATTATATTAGCGTATTAACTCAATAACTCACCTATAAAGTACATATTATTTTCGTAATATCGGTTTCCATATTTGTCCTGTCCGATCAAGGTGCCACTCTTCAACTCGTCCACCCTGTCGAATCAGTTATATAAGCCTAATATTACATTTGTTGTACAACAAACTGTTTAAGCACATTGATTTACGACAAAATAGAAAATTTCTAAAGACTCTAGAACCTTTGTTCTGCAACCAATCGATACGCCTAAAAATTGTCGCGGGGCAAGTGAAAAATTATCCTTGAATAACACGAAGTATCGCAACGCTTCATACGATTGGATCTTAGTGGCCTGGTACTTTGGCGTACACAATGGGTCTGTTTTTTATTGCTTCACTCCTGAACTAGTGCACACTGGTGCAATGAGTTGGAATGAGAGGTAATCTATTTGTTTCATTTTAACTTACTGCACTAGTTCAGTAGTGCAGTAATAAAGAACAGGCCTATCTTCTTCAACACTGCACGATTTGCATCAGCTATGTTGAACGCGAGAAGACCGAATTGATTTCAGCAAAAGCGCTGAAGCCTGATCTACAGTGTTCGCTCTTTGCGATTGGAAACATTCTATTTTGTATAAGCAAATCAATACGCCTAAAGATTTGTCGACAATGTGCGATTGTGTTTCTAGACACAGAACATTGTAGGCGGACTTTAACAGCACAGCAGTAAAATTTGTACAAGCTGCAAGCTCGGAGACAAACGCAGACCCGAGTCACTGACGGTAGTCAAGGGCCGCGGTGTTCCGAGACGTTTGCTGTGTGTGCGCAAATATAACGTGTACAACTGCGTAACAACCTGAAGATTGTCTTGACGGAGCCGATAATACCGCCGTGGTCGCGCACCGTGCGAAATAACGTCGCGAGCTTGTCCAGCCCCAATAACTTTGCCATATTTACTCTCGCGAGTGAGGCGTGAAGTCAGCGAAGGGTCGATCCGGCGGTGTCGCCAATGTTCAAATCGTAATCTAGGAATTTACAAGCAAATGTGTTGGAGTAACTTCTTCCTCGTTTATCTCTACGACACTTGCCTATCACGACAGCAGAAATCTGCGCATTGAGAACGTGCCAGCTTGTTTATTTATTTTTTGACTACACGATGGTTCGTAGGTTACTTTTACCGCGAACGCTCTCCGTCGGAACTGTACAGCGGATTGCGGCGGGATATCGCGTCACGATGGAGAATTTCGTCGCTCGATGCGGCCATTTACGTCGCTAGACGAGACGAGAAATCTTAAACCGTAAAGAAAGAGATGAATAAACTGTCGATCGTTGAACGAAGCGTGCGGTCGCAGCTGCGGCGCATGAACACGAGTGGCGCGAGACTGAAACAAACTCCGACCGAGTATTGTTTGCAGCTGGTTAGGTACTTGCCTTCGCAGTGTTGCGCAAATATACGTGGAAAAATTGTACAATCGTACTTGCACAACAATATTCTTAAGACTAGCTTAGGGAGGCCGGAATCGGTGAAGTTCAACGCCGAGATTTCAATACTTTTGCTCGAGAATTTGTTGTGAACAAGAGCGTCGAAATCTCGGTGAGCTTCAGCGGTTGTCAAACGCGGTCCCCGTGAACCAGCCTTTAATACCTGATGTAATATCCCAGTACATCCCAGATACCCTTTACAGAAATGTAAGCGAAATAATTACTGTGCATCAGTAATTTCCAACAATTCAATTGCTGAACTCTAGTTCAGTTATCTTTGGTTTCCAGTTTGTTACATTTCCGTAAGGGATCGCAACGTTTTGGCCCGGTCTACAATGAGTCGTTAATCGTTAGTCAGAAGTCGCAACTATATGTTGATCCTTTTCCTTTCTGGGTGGAAGAAAAAGGACCGACATATAGTTCCGACTTCTGACTAACGACTAACAACTCATTGTAGACCGGGCCTTTGACTTGGTATATTCGAATAGATCACGGTTTTTCAAAATTTCTAATCTCCTGAGGCACGTGGGGACGAGATCGGACGCATCCCGTGCCTTCTGTACTTCCACGAAGTAGAGGAGAAATTTCTCACGGAGGAATGAATCGAAGTAACTGTGCAAAGTTTGCGAGACTGCATCGGCGCGATGCTCAATAAGATCCACCTGAAGTCGCGCTTACACGTGTTATTTTTCCAGGAAGAACGATTATGAGAACTTTCTGTGCACACTGCTGCTTCCGCGCGATATTCGATCGGCGGCGTTCGCTGTGCGGGCGTTTAACGTCGAAGTGGCCCAAGTGGAGGATCAAGTGAACGACAATACGATCGGCGCCATGCGACTGCAATTTTGGACGGACGCCCTGAACGAGACTTACAACGACCATCCGCCGAGGAGTCCCGTGGCGTTGGAGTTACACAGGGTAGCTGAAGCAGAACACATTAACCCAGGGTGTTTTGCAGCAACAGACACAGAGTTTGTTTCCTGTTCCTGCACTGGTGAACTAGTGCAGTAAGCTAGAATGAGAAAATATATTCTTGTCTCACTCTAATTTATTGCACTAGTTCACCATTGCAGGAACAGAAAGCAATCCTACAGATTGACACAATGTAACAGAGTGTAACACAGAATCGTTTCATCCTTGTTTAATAATAGGGAAACAAAGATAAAAACGGGCGATGTATGAGAAAACACCAATGTGGGCCACAAGGCAAGATGTAGGTGGGCCCACTTGTAATTTTTATATTTAAAATGTAAATTCACATACCGTTTCTTTCCACATTTGTCCATTGACAAAACGATTCCCTGTGTTGCACAGTGTCGCCTGTGTACGTTGCTGGAAAGCACCCCTCAGGTAGCAAACTGATGTCACTTGGCGTTAAAATGGTATTTCTGACATTTTAACGTCAAAATGACGCCAAGCGACGTCAGCCTGCTACCTGGGAATTATATTCTCGTGCGATGGTCGCTTAAAAGCAGAGATCTTTTGCGTCTTGTAGATCCTTCAGCGGCACAAGCTGTCCAAGCGCTACTTCAAACGCCTGATCGACGCTCGCCTGAGCAAGCTGACCGACTCGATATTCGTGGACCTGGAATCGCTCGAGAGGTACTGCGACTATACCACGTCGTCGATCTATTATTTGCTGCTGGAGGCACAGGGCACGGCGAGTGTCGACGCCGATCACGCGGCCAGCCACTTGGGCAGAGCGCACGGTCTGGTCACCCTGATACGCTCCGTGCCGTATAACGCCCGGAAGCGAGTCATGGTGTTGCCACAGGACGTTCTGCTGAAGAACAGCGTCTCGTCCGAGTCGATCTTTCGGGGGCAATCGAGCGCTGGATTCAAAGACGCTATACTCGAGGTTGCGTCTTGCGCCAAGCAGCATCTGAAATTGGTACTTGCTTTCCTAATGGATAATATATTCCTTTGAGATTTAACTAATGACAAGTCAATCTACGCTCGCAGTCTGTATGTTTTATCTCTTTTTGCATGTAGCTGAAGAAGTCAGGGGTAGTTCTCGATTTGCATGACGTGATCTTCCTCTGTTTTAGGCGACGACGCTCAAGAAAACGGCGGGGAAAGATCTCAACGTAATACTTCTACCGGCAGTTTGCGTGGAGAATTATTTGGAGGAGCTGAGGAAAGTAGACTTCGACGTTTTTCATCCGACGCTGCAGAGAAGGAACGGCCTGCTTCCGTTGCAGTTACTGTGGAGAAAAATCTGGCCTTAGGGTGACTTTGACCAAACTCTGGTTAACTTGATTAGTGATTGATTGCACCGGTAGAATTACCGCAAGATTGTCAATTGTAGTCCGTTGTCCTTAATTTAGTCTTTCTTTCCATTAGACAACAAATAAGTTTATTATTCCATCTGTGTTAAAAATTATAAGCGAATTAACTCGGCCTTAAGATAATTTCGATTCGACTTCAATTAACTTGTCAAATATACTTGCAGTATTGAATTAGAGACAGCGAACTGTGTAGTTAGAAAGTTCGTTTTGAGCAATTTTGCAGGTTGAATTAATCGTCAATTAAATTAACGGAAGTTTGATTAAAGTCACCCTTAGTGATTAAAGTTTGAAATATCGTTTAACATGTTTTATTCTATTATCCTGTCTCCTAACAAGAAATTATCTCGCAAGATTTCAGATTGCGGACGATCGGAGAGGATTTTTTTTCAAGTGTTACCTCTTGGTTGACTAATTTCTCTTTAGTGATAATGAATGATCGTGTAATCTTGGAAGTTTACGCGTGTCTGACTTACAGTCGATTCTGTATCTCGCGACATAGTGAAAATGCTAAAAGTGAGCGGCTTTGTCTCTAAGGGGACAGTTAGAAAAAAAAACAAGGCTACCCACTTTTAGCATTTTCACTATAGCGTAAGATACAGAATTGACCACCTGGTATTTCATTTGTTGTGCGATAAATTTTCCGACAGCTACAAAATTGCTACGAGACTCGACAACTTTTCTACCTCGGGGCGCGATTTTTGAATTCACTCTTAAGAGAAACGTATGCCAAGTTCTGCTCTTACGGACAAGTCGCGAGTCGATTGGCTAAAAGCCACGCGAGTGACCAATCGGCTTGCGACTTTTTTGTAAGAACAGACCTGGTATTCGCTACTTATTTGAATAAATTCGAGAATCGAGCCTCAACCAATCAACACACGCTCGAAAATTTGTCGTTGGATGAAAGCACAGATGTCTATATATCCTGCGGATGAAAGAGAAATGAAACAGGCCATCTTCGTTGCGCATCATACGTCGAAGACGGATAGAACGACAACACTTTCAGTTGCGTCAACGTCCGAGGTGCGGCCATGATGCTGAGTCAAGAGAATTGACGCTCTATTCAATATATCTCTTCCACATTCGATGAACGGAGCATTTAACGAGAAAACGGTTTTTGATTACGCAGAACTTGCGAATAACACTTCCAACAGATTAGCTTTTGATCTCTTGCAGATCAGATCTGCGTGCGACGGCGTGAGTTTGGAGAATTTTGAATTCGGGCCGAAACTTCGTTCGCGGTATACAATCGAGAAAGGGATCTCAAACGCAGGTAATGAATCAGTCCTATTTTATCTGCCTTGATATCTGCGATATTTGGTTTGTTGTCTTTATCTACTTGTATCTTTCCAGTCTATTTCGTTTGCTTCGGGTGGAGTTTCGTACGAGATATTTTTGTAAATTACCGTCGGACAATACGTACGGACTTGATTACGTTAAGGTTATGAAGCCGAAACGAAACAATCGTGGAGTTTGGTGGTAGAACGACTTAAGTTGACTTAAATTGAGCCAAGAGCTTTATTAATCGTATTCTACGTGTCAGTGTCTATAGAATGTGCACTTGGCGTCTTATGGTTTGCTCCATATGTAAACTTTCAATTTCAAAACTGAGTGTAAAAGTTTGATACGAAAACTCAAGTCGCTCTTCTTCGTATCCTTCCACCAAACTCCTCGATTGCTAATGACTTTTTAGGGCAGTTCGTCGCTTAACACAATCGCCGAATGTTCCGCTTAATGGTGGATTGAGAAATGAAAGTTTTCGCTTTTGCAGATCAAAATGTCGAGTACATCACAGAAGCACAGAAACTTTGTGGCCGAGCCGATGGGGGACAAACCTGTGACCGAGCTCGCCGGTGTCGGGGAAGTTCTTGGAAAGAGATTAGAAAACGCAGGCTTTGATAAGGTGACCACACATCTGTACACTTTTATGTCTGTAACTGTGCTTAAAGTATTTTGCGTCTACTAATCCCCAGTGAGAAATGATTCGTCAAAACGGTGTCGAATCGCTGGGTCATTCTTAAGATAACTTTCACAAATCAATTCTGATTTATTTAATTATCTTACATAGTAATACGTGCAGTATATTGTTAAATTATTGATTATATACTTAGAACTCTTCCTACAAGCAATTCTGCCGATTGAACCGATTCCTGATTAATCCAACAAAACTTCGATCAAACTCAGTATCTTCTAATCGGAAGAATTATTTCAATGTTTGCAACGAGTTTCCTTTAGAGGGATAAAATTGTCGCGTTAAAATGAGTAGAGGATTATTCAGATTGACTTTAATCAATGTCTGACTTAAATTTGTACCGAAAAAGGATAACACGCGATTCTTTATGGTTAATGACCACACAATTTCTTCCGAGCCTCTTTATTATGTATGAATTAAAGATTATGATTTTGTACAGGCATACGTGGTTCTGGGGCAGTATTTAGTGTTAAAGAAGAATAAGGAATTGTTTCAAGAATGGATGAAAGACGCCTGCTCGGCGAACGCGAAACAGTCGACAGATTGTTATCAATGTCTCACTGATTGGTGCGAAGAATTTTTGTAAAGTAATTGACGTAGACTTTCGACTTGAATATTCTTTTAAGAGTGCAAACTATAAAATTAACTATTATAACACATACGCAAAATGTAAAATATATTTTAATACTTATACATATTTTAAATATCTTGCTTATAGCTTCAAATAGTAAACGTAAAGAGTAAAATTTATTTCTATAAACTTGATAATTATTATTTTCGCGCATTGCATTTAAGATTTGTATTATGGTTTAAACACATTCGTTTCACGTTGCATTCATCACCATCAGTTGAATTTCCAACGAAATCTTATATGCATTAATGATATAGTAAATTAATGAAATTTGAAATTTTTATATATCAAGACGTATTATTATAAGAAGAATTGTTACACTTTATCATTATAAACATTTTATCATTACAAAAGAACGCGCAATCTTAGATATAAGAACATTGACAAACCTAAAAATATCAATGTATTTATGTAGATTGAACAAGAAATAAAAGCAAGGTTTATTCTCGAATAAGATTCTGGTTGAACAGTCACGATCTGATGATTTCGATCAAATATATTTAAAAAGGAGAAGATATAGTCCATAATCTCTCGAAACTATTTCGTTTTATTTTAAATGATTATTTTTTCTTCTCTTCCTTCTCTTCAATTCTTTTATCTACTGTATCCTTGTTTCCAAGGGAATCTTGAATCAATCATTATTTCGCTCTTACAGAACAGTAGTAAAGTATTTAGCCATCGAAATCTCAGCGTTGAACTTTACCGGTTTCGGTTTTTGAAACATTAATACGTTCCGAAACTCACTTGAAACTATCCCTGCCCTCCTTCAATTATAACAGAGAGAAACCTGAGAGCGGCCACACCGACGTTTTACTTGATACCGTTTCAGGAGACCGTTTTGCGCCCATTTTTACTTTGTAAACTATATTTTGCTATGCATCTTCCGACACTGCCGATAAAGTCTCCACTTTGTGCGTGTTCATGCTGCGCCTATTTTTTCAGGATTAAGCTGTGAATTTCAAAATTACATTAACATAAATTATCTGCATGATGTTTGCATCAATTTTGTTCACGTAGCCAATGTAAATTTTATAAATTAGATGTCAGAATGCATAGCACAGACACGCACCGGTGGAAATTTTATCGGCAGTTAGAAGATGCGCAATGAAATAGTTCCAAAAGTAAAAATGGGCGTAAGTCCCAGTCTACAATAGAGATTTAAGCCCTAAGCCTTAAGAAATTGACTAATCACAGTCGCGCATTCTACTCATACTTGACCGTGATTGGCCAATTTCTTAAAGCTTAGGGCTTAAATCTCTATTGTAGACTGGGACTAAAGCCCGTATCAGACTACGGATTGAGATTGGGATTAGATTGAAATTTAACCAATCAGAGTAAAAGTTACTGAACTTAAGATTAGTAAACTTTACTGTGATTGGTTAAATTTCAATCTAATCCCAATCCCAATCCGTAGTCTGATATAGGCTTAAGGGCGCGCAAAATAGTCTCCTAAACGGTATCAAGTAAAACGCCGGCGTGGCCGCTCTCTCTGGTTATATACCACGCTTCAACCCACGGTGGAAAAAGCAAAACATACATGCAAATTTACATAAAATTTATATTTGAAACTTGTTAATATATATTTAAAATTGTACATAATTCACGCATTTGTATTTCTTATAATGGAATTTCACTTTAAAGTGGGCGCCTGCAAAATGGGTCACCTTCTGATTGGTTTAACCGCCCAAGCTGCCGCCATTATGCGCAATGGCCTCACCTTGCTTTTTCCACCATGCTTCGACCAATCACAACTTGGCTTTTCCGCGGCGTCGCGAGGATGCAATAGAGCGTCGCTACGGTCGCCACTGTTTCCAATCTACGTCGCATAAGCTCTCATAGCGTTGCCTGTGGTCGTATTCTTGCGGGAGGTTAAAAATATTATCTGTCGATGTATGTGTAACGAAATTGTTTACAGGCGTTACAGGTGATTCTGGCTGTCCAGCCGTACGTACGTTCCGCGGGAGAACGTATGTGACGTTAATCGCAGGCTCGTCGATCCTGACTTTACGCGATTGAGCTTTGAAAATGAGGATCGCCGTGGAAGGTTGTGCTCATGGCGAATTGGACATTATTTACGAGACCATACAGGAGGTCGAAAAGATCGACGGCAGGAAGATAGATCTGCTGATTTGTTGCGGCGATTTTCAAGCTACCAGAAATTTGAGTGACCTAAACTGCATGGCAGTGTCGGACAAGTACAAGGATATGTGCACATTTTACAAGTGAGTACTGTTTGTCTGAGCAAAGAGTCGCTGAAAATGTTGAATACACAGCTCTCACGCCGCTTGTAGCGTTCACCCAGAAAGCAAAGTGTTGGCAGCGTGCTAGCAGGTTGTCAGGAGGATTTGAGCAAAATATTGCCACAGATTGGTGTCAGTTGCGTCATTATTGAGCTTTTAGTCAGCAGAATTTACCCAAATAAGATAACAGGCAAATAGGATTGGATAAGCAAATGAAATTTTAGCTCATTTTGTCGTTAAAGTATTACTTAGATGACTACGAATGGCAGATTCTACTCGGGCTTGTATTCTGAACTCTCTTTCATCAATAAAAGCGCCTTTAAAAGTGACTAATAAGCCTTCTGATTGGCTACACTTTTAGATGCACTTTTATCGATAAAAGAGGATTTGGATTACAGGCCTTGGTGTCTGCGGTCAAACACATTTTGTTAGCAGATCCTATTGTACACTTAGTAAGAGGGCAACACGTTTCTAACGTTGACCGATACATTGCAGATATTATTCTGGTGAAAAGGAAGCTCCCGTGTTGACCATTTTCATCGGAGGCAATCACGAGGCGTCGAATTATCTGCAGGAACTGCCGTACGGAGGATGGGTTGCGCCCAACATCTATTATCTTGGATACGCGGGTGTGGTGCAGGTGGCTGGAATCAGAATTGCGGGGCTCTCGGGCATATACAAGAGTCAGCATTGGATGCAGGGACGCTACGAGAAGCCTCCCTATACCGATAGTACCATAAGAAGCGTCTATCACATTAGGAATCTAGAAGTGTTCAGATTAAAACAGGTAGGTGCTGGCTCTCATAAATATATAAGTTTATGGACACTTCATATTTTTGCAACTAATACAGTTTTGGGCAAAATAGCGAGTAGTTGAGAAATACAGTTTTCCTTTACTTTCAGCTTTCTGGTAAGATTGATATATTTTTATCGCACGACTGGCCGGCAGGGGTAACGAAGTATGGTGACGAAGACAGGTTGCTGAAACAGAAACCATTTTTTAAGTAAGTTGACGACGGACGTTAATGCAAAGTTCTATTACGTTGAAATGATGCGTATTTTGACTGTGAGACTCGATATTAAGTCCTCGCATTGTAACTTGGCTTTTCAGGGATGACATAAAAAGCAATTCGCTCGGCAGTCCTCCGTGTATGGAACTGTTGGAACGTCTTTGTCCGTCCTACTGGTTCTCCGCGCACTTGCACTGCAAGTTCGCGGCGCTCGTTCCCGAGAAGGGAGGGGCGCGAGTGACCAAGTTTCTAGCGCTGGATAAATGCCTGCCGAAGCGGAAGTTCCTTCAGGTGCTGGAGGTGCGCTCGCAGGAGGATTGCCCAGTGCAATTGAGCTACGATCTGGAGTGGCTGGCGATACTCTATTTGACGAATCACCTGCTGAGCGTCAAGAGCAGTATCCATTACATGCCCGGTCAATACGGCGCTGGCAGGTGGACGTACACACCTACGGCGAAGGAGAAGCAGACTGTGCACGACAAGTTCGGCTCCAACTTGCGGATTCCTCTCAACTTCGCCCGAACGGTCAAACCGTACGACCCGTGCGACACGAATACTCAGATCGAGCGACCGCGGCTGCTGATAAACGACCAGACTACTCAATTCTGTCAGATGCTGGGCATCGACGATCCTTCCACCCTGTTACAGATCATCGCGAACAACTCCAAGGATAACAGCAGATCGAGCGAGGTGTCGACGGAGACGTCCGGCAACTACACGTCAGAATCCATGGAGATCTCGTTCGAGGAAGGGGACGTGTTCAGTTCCACCTTCGAGATGAACTCGTCAAATAAGTATTTCGTCGATAGCTCGCCGACGAACTTGTCTCCTAAGAGCGACAGCGGCGATTCGGATAACAAAGACACGAGTAAGAGCACGTTGGACGGAACTGTCGATAACACGATTGCGGATTCCACGTCGATGGAGAACAGTGAGTATCGCGGTAAATGGCAATTAATTAATTGAACGCCGAGTAGAAAACTGACGACGAGTTTTGGGGTGACTGGACAATTACGTGTTGCAGGTAGCGAACAAACCGGCTGCGTCCAAACCGAGCCGAACTGCAAGAAGTTTAAACGCCGAAATTATTCTGTGTACTCTAGCACATTCTAACTGTGATAGTGTCTCCCCCATTAGGTATTTGCGTCTATAATCATGTTGTTTCCATACGGAATCTTTCTGTATTATATCTAATTTGTAAATAGCACGAACTTTTTATAATCAATTATATATATACCTTGAAAACTTACAAAATGATCTATCATTCTTAGGCTGGTATTACATTTGTCGTACGACAAATTTTTTTAAGTGCGTTAATTGGCTGCAGGATAGTAAAGTTCTTTAGTATCTAGAAATTTTCTATTCAGCGATCAGTTAACACGCTTGAAACATTTCTCGTACAACAAATGTAACATTAGCCTTAGGGCCTGAGCAGCATGGCTGTCTTGTACTCTTAAGACAGTGTTTTATGTTTTAAATCTTTGTCTTGAAATAACGCACAATAACTGTCTTGCGACTTAAGAATACAAGACGGCCATTTTAGGCCCGTAGGATCTGTCTAGACAAACTTGCGTAGGTGCATAAGCGTATGCATAAAGAAATTGATTGGTTTATTTCCTTATGCGTGCACTTATGGTCCAATCAGAGTTCTCATGTGTATGTTCACGTGCTATGCAAGTTTGTTTGGATAAATCCTTTTTGAGTCCCCAAAATTGCAGAACATCTTTCCCCCAGCTAGAGATATGACTTGTCGATCGACGATTCATTTCTGACTGGGGATCCTTCCCTGCTTCCTGCCGCGTTGAATTTATCGGTCTACAATCGCGCTTCAAAACTCGTTCGCAATTACGCGATAGATGTCCGACGTGATGTAATTAATTTTATACTGTTTTACGTACAATTTTGAGCCACATGTCTCAATATACAAATCTTTATTTGGTTCTTTTACAGCGTTCTGCGGTTGCTCATCGTAGAATACGTTCGATAAAATCGTAAATTCAACGTAGCGACGTGTCGCAAATAGAGGGGCACACTGCGCGCGCGGAATTAAATTCAAAAGCGCAATCGATTCTCAAACGAGACGAGGGATCGGGAGTCTCGATTCCGTTCGATCGGTCGCCTCGAACGCCCAGCCGTTCCCCGCGCGATCTCGATTAGCAAACGCGCTCCCACTCCGGTTGACTTGTTTACTCCCGATTTCTACGCTCTTGGCTGTCAGCGAAGGATGGCACAGTGCCAGTGCGTCCGCGGATGATTTAGATGATTATCCCCGGGATCATGTTCGGAGGATATTCGCGTCGCGTGGACGACTCGACGGCGGCGCGTCGCGACGCGTAAACATGGTGGTGGCCAGCTGTGCTTCGAACGACGACGTGCCAAACCACTGTCATCTCGATCTTAAACGTCGACTATCCCGAGCGTGAGAAATGGACAAGTTAACGGTCATCTCGGGGATATTGTTCCTGCTCGCGGACATCTCCGCCATAATCAGCATCGCCATGCCCGACTGGATCATTACCGACGTCGGCGGTAATTGCGATTGCGATCTGTTTTTTTTTGCCCCTCTTTCCTCCTTCGCTGCACGTCATTCTCTTTACGCCGACGAGATAAAGTCGCGAATTTGAATCGAGTTGCGAGTCGCGAAACTGCTCGAACGTGCGCGAGGACACGGTTTTAATTCCACGCCTCTTTCTTACCCTCTGACAGGTGACACGAGATTGGGCCTCATGTGGTCGTGCATGACCTTGTACAACAGACCGCAGGTCTGTTTCAAGTCGCAGCTGCAGTCGGAATGGATGATGGCACTAGTCTGCATATTTATCGGCTGCATTCTGATTACCGCAACCATAATATTGCTGGTGATCTCGCACTGGGACCGCACTGTTATTCCCTTCGCCCGCTGGGTAGGATTCGGCGCCAGTACGTACCAGAAGAATACATGACCTTTAGCACAACAAAACGTACACTGCACGAAGTAACGTATTTATAGAATACAAGGTGAAGCTCAACTATTATGCCCTAGTGGCACAGTGTATTGGCTAAACATTGGTCAATTGATTATATTGGAAATGCATTGGCCGATGTAAAGCCAATATTGGTCGTGGAATAAATGCAGATATTGTGCAACAATAATTGTATAGATGTATGTATATTGGAAGTGCATCGCACCAATATTTAGCCAATATTTGCAATATGAATATTGGTCTAATATTGCTGAGTATGTATCTTGCCTATAGATAAGAAAGGAGGCATCTGTCTTACAATATCGGACCACTATTGGGAATATTAGATTTAGTCATCGGCAATGAATCGTTTCGCAAGAGGGGAAGCGACTTGTTTCTCCGCTCTAGCCGATCGACGAATTATCAATGAGTGGAGGAACAATTCCCCTCTCGTAAAACGATTCATTGCCGGTCAGTGTACACTATCTGCCAGTATTGCGCCAATACATTGTACTAGGGCGTTGTTAATCCAGAACAAATTTGATTGACACACTAGTGCACAAAGTTCACACGTCATTACGATTATTACGCTGTACATTAATCAATGTAATTAAATTGCAGTGGTGCTATTTTGTCACGCGGCAGTGATATTTCCAATGGGATTCCACATTGACGAGATTGGCGGACAGCCGTATCAGTTGCCTAACTCACATCAAGTCGGTATTGCTTACATCTTGTTTGTCCTAGCCTTGTGGATCACAGTAATCTCCGAGCTTTTTGCAGGCAAAGTTTGTCTACCACATTTTTAGCATTTTTCTCTAGCAGGAGTATTTGTTTATTATCTTCTAGCGACGTCCGCACTCATGTTTTTAAGTATCATTTGTATTAAAGACGATTTTGTACAGAATCTTAAAAAAAACGGTTTAGCGTTGTTACCGATATAGAATTATTTTTATCTTGCAATAACAATTTTATAAAGCTTTAACAGGGATTACAATTCTGCCGTATATTAAGCAGACTAAGTCAGAATAAGAATTCGTTTCTAATATTTAATAAATCTTCTATAAAATGATAGATGTATAGATAAAGAGAATTTCTTATATTATTATACGATATTAATATCTGTCCTTAAGGATGTGTATAGTCTATATTAGCACAATGTGCATTAAGATTCGATAGTCTAGGATTTTTTAAGGATTTTTAAGCGGTATATATGATAATATATGTGTATGTAGTAAGTAAGATTGTAACATGTTAACTATCAAGTAGACACTCGAGGGAAAACTGTAATAAAACGCAATACATATTTGAAATATTATATGTATATATGTATATATATTTCTTATTCATAATTAAATTTTAACATATGTACAGTTTTACCTTTTGTTATAAACTTCAAATATTTATTTACAAAACCGGAAATAAATGAGAGGTATTATGTGTTTAATGCGTAAGTTACAATTAGATTCAAAACTTAGAATACATCTTACTTATCTATATTATACAAACATACATACTAGGTATAATAGAAGTGTGTATGTAAGAGAACTAAAACGTGTATATTTCTGATTTTTCGAAACGTTATATAACAATAAAACTTGTGCCGCAAATAAATGGAAGTTTATTTGCGTACGAGGCAAACAATCAGACTATAAGGTAACAAAATATATAACAATTTAAACGCAATTGATAAACAAACCCTGTTGAACACTTCAGTTTTAAGAATTAATGTGTGATAATATTGCGCATATCTAGGGAAGATTAAATACAAAATGTTCAATAATTGTACAAACAATCTTCCTGATAAGTCTTTCAGTTCTTTATCTTGCCAGTTTTTCTCAATTATTAAAATGTTTAAATGTGATTTAAATGTTACACTAGAAAGAAATCTATAGAAAGATTTTGTCAGAGAGAATGCGTGCATATGACTTGTTCTATATGGCTTGAAAAAATACCCATACATAATATATATTTAAAATATATACATATGTATACACGTATATATATTATGTATACACGTATATACATATATATGTATATATATGTATATGTACTTAAATATAACATTGAAGAACAACTGGCAAGTTGAAATTGATTTCCACTGTACAGGAAAGTTATATAAAAAAATAACCTACGTATAATGTCTATTTCTATACTTTATACACACACTGTCACAAACTTCAAAATTTTCACACTTTTGTTTGTCTTGAGGAAATTGGAAAACCAGTAACATTTACAATAATCTTACTCAGAAAGAAGAATTATATACACACACAGGACACTCTATTATCTCACAAACTGCAACGTATAAAGCCTTTAATATATATATATAACGCTTTTCAGATTCACTAGAAAACGTGAACCTAGATTGGAACACTTGACGAGCCTTAACATTACCTACATTCACTTCATGATTTTGAGGGGGAGAACTATGTATACAACGTGTAATAACAATTTTAATAGAAATATTTTATGGAAGTACAGCGGGTTCAATAAATGTCTACTTTCCACTCTATTGTAGATAATATAAAAGCTCTCTCTTTATTTAGATTTCTATTTAATTATAAATATCAACAAGAACTTTGAAATCGTAAAAAGAATTTTTTTTTTCGTTCCATTTCGAATGGAACATAGCTTTTTTCTATATAAATTTTTATGTAACTATTTCAATGTGCTTTTGCACTATTAGACTGGTTATTACCAATCGTGTCACACCTTCGATAATAAAGTAAGTAAGGTACCCTAGGTGACGCGGGCCTCAATACGTTGCTTTCTGGGACACTCTTCACCGTGCTGTCGTCGTATCTTACCCAGGACCCGTATCCCACGTGGAAGGCGTCGGTGAAGTAATGTCCTTTGGTGGCTTCCTTCCCATCGTGATACGTCACCGCGAATAATTTGTATTGTTTTTGTTTGGGTCCTAATTTCTTCGCAGTGTTCGGTGTTAAAATTTCTGTAAAAGTAAAAATTTCCACGTTACATTCGTCGCATTAAATCATTGAGATTAGAATAGAATAGAAGAAATTGAAATTATATGCAGTATACTTACTGCCATCAATTTTCAGGTCGACGGGGAACTCCATGGTCTTTAATATTTTGGAACAGCCGTTGGAATATTTATCGAACTTGTACACGAACCATTTCAGGTGTAATATAAGGATGACGGGCAGTTCTTCCAAAGTGACTTGTTTCCAAGCCTCTATCTGTTGTCTCGTCTTACTGCAAGTCAATCCTTCCACTTGATCCTTGCCGACGAGTATCTCAAGGGCGTGTTTTACAGATTCGGCTTTCTGTAACAAATTATATTGTATTGAATATTATGAAATCTCATATTGCACATTAGTTCGTTCAAAAATCTTAATACTAACTTGAACGTCAAGTTGCAGTGTGAAAAACGGTTGTACATTATCCGTAGGTTGTTCTCCCGATCTTGACACCCTAGATCGTAACTGTCCGCGGAAGATGTCGGATATCGGTGTCCTTCCGAATTCTGTGCACCGTGTAACAGCGCCTTTATTTTTTGGTCCCATTACCTGTTCATTCAAATAAGAATGAATAATGTAATATAATAAATATTAAAATGTAAATGTAATGAATATAAGTCTAATTAAAAAATGCTATAAGGCAAAAACTAATGTCACTCTCGATAAATTTCGATTGATGTATTGCGATAAGTAGATCTGAAATATTTTGTATATTATTATAAGTATCAATGTGTAACAACTTGTCAGCAGTAAATATTTTACCTGCCACTCCTCCTCATCGCAGTCGTTATTGATATTTTTCGCGTTACCGATGGCACTTTGATCGTTGCTGACCAATTTCATCAACTAGTACAAAATAATGATCATGAATTTTCCGAGTAACGAATTTTACATTTTTATAATGAATAAAATATATGTATATATGCTATATCTGTACCTCTAACATTTCGTCATTGATTCCATTTAAGAGACATGACAAGAATTCTTCCGCATCTTCCTGCCGTCCTTCCACAGAAAAGGCACCAGCAGCAGAGGCATGTTTTAACATTGTATATACATACGATGGTTCAAACGCAATGCCACTAATTATGTCCAAGACAGTATCTTCTCCTCGTTTGTGAACTCTATCTTTCCTGGGCATACGAGCGGCCTCCGTCAAGGGCGAAAACTCACGAACAAACTTGACCCTTTTAGCAAAAAGAAATAAATTTACACATTAACATAATTTTTACAAGATTAATAGAAAAACATTATATCAATATAATTACTTTATTATCCCTGTACTTACATGTTATCAATCAAGGGCGTAGCAGAATTTCTGCTTCGGTTTTTAGGAAGTGGCAAAGCCGAGAGAAGATTGTAGAATGGTGGACACGCGAGTAAAGCTTGTAAGATGCTGTTGATATAACAATAATTGCTGCGGTTTGTCAATCCCCTCGGTAATAAGCTCACCGTTTGCTTATCCATTTGATAATTTGATAAAAATTCTGGACAGGGCAATAAACATTTTATTAAAAAATTTACATCGACATATATTGGGACCAATAATTTATTCTAAGAAGATACGATCGCTTATTGTACTTACCACCTATTCTGTACGTATTAGGATCATCGTAACAATTCTGTAATATGCCATTTTGTACAGCTGGTGTGTCAGACGAAATGTTTTCCGCCTCTGGCGTGCGAACAGGACTAGTCGATTCCTTCTGAACCGGCGCTTTTGGCGATTCATTCTGAGCACTAACTGTTTGTGCTACGGGTTTGCACGAC